CGTCCTGAGAGGCCAGGACACGACGCGAGGTGGGGTGGTAGAACTGCCAACCAGGGGCGTCCGGGACAAAGCCAAGGAAGACGTAGGGGACAGCGCGACGGGAGAGCTTGTCCGCGGACGTGTCGCGGACAAAAGCTCGGGATCCCCAGACCCGAAAACGCGACGCATCGCCAGCCTCTCCCGTCCAGCGCAGTGTCGGAGAAGTCTCGGGCAAGGAGACACGGGGCCAGAGGTTGAGCTGATGCGCAGCGTATCGGACTGCAAACGGCCACAGAAAATGGGGGGCAGCCGCATGGCTCAAGGAGGTACGAGCGACCTCCATGACCAGACCAATGCGGCGCTCAGCAACCCCATTCTGCTGTGGAGAGTCCGGAAGCGTGTACGACTGCTCAATGCCCTCCTGCTGACAAAAGGCCTCCAATAGGCCAGAGGAGAACTCCCCACCTCTGTCAGAGTGCAGACGCAGGACAGGGAAGTCGGAGCGGAAACGCTCACGGAGCTGGAGACGAGATCTGCGGATCCAAGGGATCAAGACATCAGGGACGTCACCCTTGGCGCGCAAGGGGAAGACCGTGGTGTAGCGCGAGAAGTCGTCAACAACAATCAGGAAGTACCTCTCCTGACCCTGACCACGGACGCGGGCTGGGCCCCACACGTCCATGTGAAGCGTCTGCAAGGGGGCAGTCGTCGGGGGAAAGGAGGAGGAGTGAGGAGCGGCGCGCTGCCGTCCCTCGACACAGGGAATACAGGGAGGAGCAGGACAGTCGGGAAGGGGAGGGAGCACCCTGGGAAGACCAGCAACAAGGTCCCGCTGGTGCATGGCCCGAAGGCGCTGCACAGACGGGTGACCAAGGCGGTGGTGCCAAAGGACAGTCTCATGCGTCAGAGAGCGACACGAGCAGGGGGCGGACAGCTGACCTGACGCGGACGCAGACGCAGCTACCTGAGGGGACACAGTGGTCAGTGTGTAAAGGTCCGACCCCGGCTCCCGAGTGAAGGTAGCCAGGTGGCGACCCGTCCGAGCACACGTGCAGTGTGTCACGCGCTCGTAGGCAGGGGTGAACTGGTGAACACCCCCGTCCTGGAGCGCACTACCTGCCACCAAGTTCGTAGAGAACGAGGGGAGGTAGAGACCTGACAGCGTGCCGGACGGGACCGCCGGACAAGGAAGGACAGTGGAGGAGGTCGCAACGACCGGACCCCCAGAGGGGTCAGCAAGGGAGACAGCAACTGGCCGAGCGAGGGGCTCAAGGACAGTGCGGTCACGAAAGAAAGAGCGAGAGGCACCTGAGTCCAGTGTGAAGGTGTGCAGTGCTGCAGTCGACTCAGTACCAGGGGGCACAGACGCACTAGCACCTAGGGCAGCAGCCTCACCAGGACCTGCGGGAGCGGACGCACTAGCACCTAGAGCGGCAGCCGGACTGGCCTGAATGCCCGGGTCGGGCGGAACACGCAAGTACTGAGCACCCTCTCCACTAATAGACATCGCATACATGGCAGTGAGAATAGCATCAAAGTCTAAAGCCCAAATATCAACACCCCTCTTCTCCAGCTCAGCCCAGCGCGGCAGCTCAGTGGCAGTAGGAAACTGGGTGCGCCACGCGTCGGTAAGGCGGGCGAAGCAGCGCTGCGTGGGGTGCAGCCTCCCACACTGCTGGCCGGTGCGGTCACCTGTGCGAATGACGTACGTGCAGGTAAAGCCACGCTGCGCATACCACTCACGGGCGGCCTGAAGCGTCGGGGCGGGCTGCTGACTCTGCCCTCCGCCAGTGCCCCCACGACCACCACCCCCTCCGCCTCCGCCCCGGCCACCTCCACCCCTGCCGCCACCACGACCACCTCCGCCTCCGCTGCCGCCTCCACCCCTGCCACCACTCCCGCCGCTGCTGTCGCCTCCCCCACTACCGCCACTAGCCTCCTCAGCCGCGCCTCCACTCCCACCGCCTCCACCCCCACCTCCTCCGCCACCACCCCCGCCCCTGTTCCCTCTGCCCCTGCGGCGCCCGCTCGAAGCAGACGCGGTCCCGACCTTCTCAGCACCAAGAAGGTCGACAGCAGCAGCAGAGGCGACAGAGGGGAGGAGGGGGGAAGGGGAACACCCCTCGAAGAACGGGGTGCGGGGGTCGCCACGAGAGGTGCCTACAGCGACGATGCTCGCCTCAGCTGCAAGCAGTTCCTTCTCGAGGAGGGCAACAGTGAGTTCAGTGGGGGAGCGAGAGAGGAAGTGGTCCCTGACTACGCGCAGAGAGTCAGGGAGGCGGGTGACGATGTGGTAGAGAGTGATCCAGAGCGGGGGGGGTTGCTAGTGAGAAACTCGGCAGGCATAGCAGCGCGAAAGCGGGCCTCACTAGTCTTAAGGTGGGTGATGAGGTCTGCGACAGTGTGAAAGGAGGCTAGGTCGGGGAACAGGTAGGGAAGAGTGAGGCGGCCTAGCGTAGCAGAAGCGGGTGAGGAGTAACGGGCAACTACAGCGGTGTAGAGGTCCCTAGCAGTCTTGCACTGGCCAAAGTGCTCGCGCTCATCTAACGGCAGGGAGTTGCGGATGGCAAAGCGAGCGTGGGCGTCACGAGTCTGCCACTGGGAGCGGGTAGTGCTGTCAGCATCAGTAGCAGGGGCAGGAGCATGGCCGAGGGCGTGGTCATACAGTGAGATATCCTCCTTGGCAGTGAGCTGTAGGAAGAGGTGCAGGTCATCAAGCCAAGTATCAAACTTCACTGGGCGGCCCTCAGCATCGAAAGCTAGTACAGGCGGGGTAGCCGTAGCAGTAGCAGTAAGGGAGTCTTAAACGCAGTGGGCAGCGCGACGCAGGTAGGGCGGCTCGGTCCAGAGAAGTTGCTCAGTGCGGGCGGCGCGGCTCGACCCTGGTTGCTCGGCTCGGCTCGGACTGGGCGGCTCGGTTCGGGCGGCCTGTTGCTGGCGGGGCCGCGGCTGTCGCGTGCGGTGTGGGAAGGGGCGGCGGGTAGGGTCGACGGAGCCGCTTAGGGGCGGCGGATAGGATCGACGGGGCCTCTAAGCGGGGCACGCACGGGGTCGACGGGTCAAGCGGGGCCGTAAGCGGGGCGCGCGCGGGTCGACGGGGCCAAACGGGGCCGTAAGCGGGGCGCGCGCAGGTCGACGGGGCCAAACGGGGCCTCTAAGCGGGGCGCGCGCGGGGTCGACGGGTCAAGCGGGGCGCGCGTAGGTCGACGGGGCCAAACGGGGCCTCTAAGCGGGGTGCGAGCGGGTCGACGGGGCCAAACGGGGCCGTAAGCGGGGCGCGCGCGGGTCGACGGGGCTAAGCGAGGCCACTAAGCGGGCCGCGGGCGGGTCGACGGGGCCAAACGGGGCCTTAAGCGGGGCGCGCACGGGTCGACGGGGCCAAACGGGGCCTCTAAGCGGGGTGCGGGCGGGTCGACGGGGCCAAACGGGGCCGTAAGCGGGGCGCGCGCGGGTCGACGGGGCTAAACGGGGCCACTAAGCGGGCCGCGGGCGGGTCGACGGGGCCAAACGGGGCCTTAAGCGGGGCGCGCACGGGTCGACGGGGCCTCTAAGGCGCGACGCGCGAGTCACTAAGGGGCGGCGCGCGGGGTCGACGGGGCCTTAAGGGGCCGTACACGAGGGCGCACGAGGGCGCTGAGGGGGAGGCGCTAACGCGACGCTCCGACAGTAGATAGGTAGGTAGGTAGGTAGGTAGTCAGTGGTGGGCCCTAAGAACGGTCCTAGCGAAGGACCTGCTCTGAAACCATGTCAGAAAGAAGAGACTGGAAAATGGTTGAACTAACAGAGAAAACAGTACAAATAGCAAACCCTAGAATTGTGTACCCCATATAGGCTAACCCACTGTAGCCTAACAAACCCAACATATATAATGTTTGACATCACCCGCTACACAAACAAGCCCTTTTATCCCAGTGGTTAGTGACTGGGATTCTGACATGGTATCAGAGCGAAGGTCTCGGGTTCGAATCCCGGTGTGTGCACCTCGGGCATCCCAGTGCGAGGGGGTGTCAGAGGTCCACTGGTGATCCCCGATTGATCCTAGGGAAGGGTTACAGGCACGTTGGCCTGGGGGGTTATGGGCGCACTCACCCGCTACACAAACAAGCCCTTTTATCCCAGTGGTTAGTGACTGGGATTCTGACAGGGTATTTATCAGTACACCCTAGGGTGTACTATGCGGGGGATTACGGTATCGGGGATAGGTCGAATTACATAACAAGGGTTAATGGCTTGTTTGCATGCATTCATGTCAGTATCTTGAAACTTCAAGTTCCATTTCCCCCCCAGCTGCCCTTAGTTGATCTCTACATGTTTTGTGCTAGTTAGGGTACATTCCGCTGTGGACAGGGTTCCAATCGATGTGTCCCAATCGAGTGTACCGCTCCGAACCGAACTAAACCAGAGACGCGAAAATTTCGACAATGTTTGAAACTAGGGTGTAATTCGGTGTAATACGATGCAGTGCGGTAGAATTGATTCAGGCAAGAACTAGAAAATCAATCTCAATAGACATACTTCTCAGAACATACATTTCCTCACTCTCAGTTGTCTACACCCGCACTGAAACTATGTACATAGACCCATGTCCCCAGCAAGGGCGTATTCACCATCCTTCTGTCAGTCTCCTCCGTCTGCACTGCTGAACTCTCTTCGAAAACCCCTAAAAAAGAAGCTGCATATAAACACACCTGTGGCCACTCTCCCTCTACTGCTGCCAAACTACCGCTCCATAACCTCACAAATCTCTCCGCTCTCGCCCCTCCCAGCGCCTCCCTCCCTGCCCGAGTGCTGCCAACATGCACACTAAACGAGATGTGCCCCGACCACCACGCCTCATCATGCCGCTCTGCCCTCTCTCTACTCACTGCTGCCAAAGTATCGCTCCATAACCTCACACATCTCACCGCTCTCACCTCTCTCAACCCCTCCCTCCCTGCCCCGAGGAGTGCGGCCAGCATGCACACTGAACGAGCTGTACCCCAACCACCGCGCCTCAGCCTCAGCGCCCCCCATCCCTTTCTCTACTCGCTGCTGCCAAAGTATCGCTCCATCACCTCACTGATCTCGCCGCTCTCACCTCTCACAACCCCGCCCTCCCTGCCCCGAGGAGTGCTGCCGGCATGCACACTGAACGAGCTGTGCCCCGACCACCGCGCCTCATCATCACCCCCTTCCAACACCCCACCAGCCCCATCAACAGCCGCACTATATCCTGAAGCCCCACCCAGGACTGACGCTGTGAGCAGGTCTGATGCCTCTAGCACGCTCCAATCACCATCTTCAATCATCGTCACGCCTTCCACTCCAGTGTTGCTATCAGCCAACCCGCTTCCCACACCTACCTGCTGCTGTCCTGACTGAAGCTGGAGCTGCTGCTGCTGCTGCTGCTGCTGGAAGCGGGAGCGGGCAATAGGGAGCGTTTCCTTGAGCATGCTAGACATTTCTCGCATCTTGGCCTCAAACTGCTCCTCGTCTTCAAAGAGAGAGGCCGTGGGGAGGGTGAATGTCGTCTCGACAGCAGCAGCCGGTGCAGCAGCAGTGGTGTCGCTGAACGAGGAGCCACCAGGAGGGGCGTTCACCCCAGCGGCAGCAGCATCAGCAGCGGCGGCGGCAGCAGCATCAGCAGCGGCGGCGGCAGCAGTGGATGTGCTAAGGTTTTGGGCACTGCAGAGCTCAGAGTAGAGAGCAGCAGCACCAGCAGCGCCAATGCCAGCTGCATCAGCGTCAGGAGCACTAGCAGTAGATGATGCTGCTGCAACAGCTGCCTTCATGTCACCCACAGAAGAAGGGCTAGAGGTAGTGGTCAACCCCAAGGCTCCTGGAAAAGGGTTGTTCTCGTCTTCAGCTGTGTGACCAGCAATGTGAGCGGCTGGTATGGCAGGCGGAATGGCATCAGGGGCCGATTCTGCTGACGAAGCGCGTGCCGGATCCTCGTGCAAGGAATGATAAGATTCTTGCATCCGGCCTGAATTAGAAGTTGGAATGAATCAGGGTGGAAAAGCACAGGGAGAAAGAGCAGAGCAGCGAGAGTGAGAAAGGAGCGCGAGGAGACATGAACGCACAGATTGACTCCACACAGGAACGCACATGACTCCAAAACCGCCACCAAACCATGCACACAAACGAATAACCCAAGTCATCCTCGACGTTTCCAGGCAGCCCCAGGCAAGCAGCGCCACGCCCCTCACAGCGTTGCCAGATCCTCTTACACCGCCCAACCACTCCACACACCTCCACCATCGTCCATACCTTCTTCAGTCAAGAACAAGTACAGCAAATCCCCTACTGCCTGTCCCCAAGCCCGGGTAGCCGCCCGCGCCACTCACTAACACTTAAACCACATCAATCACACCCATATCACACATAAACAAATCACAATCTCACCAACCACTCACCTTCACCATCCTACTTTCCAGATTCCGTCAGAAACGAATACCCCAGATCCTCCGCTGCCTGTCTCGGCAGCCCGGGCAGCCAGCCCACGCCCCTTCATTCACTCACCTTCACCGTCTTCCTTTCCACCTTCACTCAGGAACGAGTACCCCAGATCCTCCGCTGCCTGTCCCAGCAGCCCAGGCAGCCGCCCCACGCCCCGCACCAGCGCCGCCAGATCCTCTCGCAGAACCGCCAGCTGTCCCTCCAACACGTCAGCCTCGTGGTGACGTGCCACCAGTGCGTCTGCCAGCTCAGCACACGCCTGCTCCTGCCTCTCTAACCCTGGCACCTCCCCCAACACCCGCTCCATCTCCCTTTCCGCCCCCTCCAGTTTCCTCCTCCCCGCCTCCTCCCTCTCCTTCCTCCTCCTCTCCAACTCGCCTATCCTCTCCTTAGCTCGCTCCAGCCTACCCTCCAGCACCACTCTCAACTCCTCCACCTGCCTCTCCACCTCCGCGAATTGACCCTGAATCGCTTCGACCCGGGCTTTAAGCCCTTGGGAATCCTCCTGAAGCTGCGCGCGGTGCCCAAACACCTGCGCCGCGCGGATCTCCAGAGCCTGCTGCGACCGCACCACATGCCGAAGCACGTTCTCAGCTTCGGCAACATCAGCCTCGCCAGCATGGGCCAAAGCAGTTTCAGCTGCACCTGCCTGCTGCTCGGCGCGCTCCACCTCTGCAAGGAGGGTCTGAACGGATGCTAGCTGGGCGTCCAGGCGGGATTTGGCGTCTCGGGTGGAGGCCACGTGGTGGGCGATGGCGCTCACTTCGACCTCCACGAAGGACCGGCTCCAGCTGTTCACTAGGCTCTCTGGCACCTCCACATGCTCGCACTCTTCCTCCTCTTTTTGCTGCTCCTTTTGCTCCCCAACCTTCTCCGCTTGCTCCAGTTCGCGCTCGTCCTCTTGCTTCCTTGCTTTTTCTCCTGTTCTTCCTCTGCTTCCGTCAGTTTCTCCTCCTGTCTGACCTCCTTCTCGCCCTTGCTCCCCTCCAGCACCGCTACAGCCTCGTCCCTCTGTGCGACCTCGTGCGTCTCGGCCTGCTCGGCCTCGCCCTGAGTCACTTCTCGACCCACCCCAGCACCGCCCTTGCTCTCTCCGTCCGCCTGTTGGGGTTCACTCTCGGTTTCACTCTCGGTTTCACTCTCGGTTTCACCCTCGGGTTCATTCACAACGACCGCCTTCTCCTCTTCCGCTTTCTCCGCTTCCTCTTCAATCCCATCAGTGGCACCAGAACCGCCAGCCGCATCAGCAGCATCCGCAAACAATTTCGCCCCCGGCTTAATCACAACGACTCCAGACTCGCTGACATCAGCATCGGAACCATCAATAGAATCACCCTCGACTTGGCCACCGTCAGCCTTGTCCCCGTTAACAGCGTCTTCTTTCACTCTCTCATTAACCAGATCTGCGCCGTCCACAGATTCTTCCAGCAACGCATCCAACGGCGGTGCACTTCCCGTCTTAGATTCTCCAGATTCCTCGTTATTGGAAGGAGCCGTCAGAGGTGCTTCTAACGAGTCTGCTGATCTTTCGCCAGTGGCGCCGACGGTGCTGGTGATATCGACGGTGCTGGTGGTATCGACGGTGCTGGTGGTATCGACGGTGCTGGTGGTATCGATGGTGCTGGTGGTATCGACGGTGCTAGTGGTATCGACGGTGCTAGTGATGCCGATGGTGTCAGTGGTGTCAGTGGCGCCGGTGGCGCCGATGGTGCTGATGGTGTCTGGACCTTGGGCAGTAGCGACGAGGGCGGGAAGGTCCTGCTCATCGTGTTTCTCTCCCGCCTCATCAACACTATTTTCGCTGTACAAGTATGAAGAGGCTGGCGGAACTGGCATCACCGGTGTTTCTGATAAGCTGAGCAGGGTAGTCTCGTCCCTGGAAGCCGCTGAATCTTGCAGAGGAGCTCTTGACGCGGGGAGATTCTCCTCAGCTTCGAAAAAGGACTCCTCGTTAACGACTTCGCCAGATGGATCCTCGTTATTGGCGGTCTCGTCAAAGGACTTCTCGTCCATGGGGGACGGAAAATCGAGTCCATCAGCACTCCCTAACGGTGCGAACCCGGCAGAGGCCTGCAAGCGGAATAACCAGAATTATTAACAGCTTGAATAAACGGGAAACGGAAATAGTAGGGGGACGAGGAGAACGGAACAGTTAGAACAGGCCTAGCGGACCGTAACTAAATCACTTACCGTATTGGTATCCTCGACATCGTCCTCCTTGTCCGAAATTTCTCCGTCGGAAGACGAGGAATCCGAAAGCGCTTCGTCCATCAGGTACTGAATGGCCTCATCTATGCCTTCCGGTGACGTGCCGTGCTCGCGAATCGCCGCCTTCAGCAGTCTGAAGTCCACCTTCGGAAACAGCTCCCGTAAGCGCGCTACTGCTGCCTCCATGACGCGACGTCGTTTATTTTGTTGCGAGTGCCTGATATTTCTACTTCATTTGCTGAAACGAAATGCTAAGAAATTCTTGGAAGCACACCCCAGTGCCTCAGAGAGCTCAAGCTGGGACCTGAACTTGAAAGCAGCACCGGGGAATAGCTCTTCATCCCATTTCTTCCTAGGGTTTCCTGTCCGCTCACTCAAAAGCTCATTCATCCCAGCGTACCTTCCGGTTTGGTTTGCCCTCAATCTCGGCTCGGGTGCGACAAACCAGCAAGCACAGTTCGGATGGACGATTATGGTTGGGAACTTTGGCCCTGAATGATGGCTTGGGTGGTTTCATTTTTGTAGGCACAGCGAGCTAGAGGGTGAACGCTGTGGGTGGGGACCAGGGCTGACGATTCAAGGGCAAATGCCCTTAATGCCCTGAACATTAAGGGTTGTGTTCGACCCAGCTTCCGAATTTTAAGGGCTGGCTTTGAGCGCAGCCCGTCCCCGTAAAGTGCTGGTTGTGGGCCTAACCCAGATTTCAAGTGCAGATCCCGCGGCTAGCCCTTATGTCCCATACTAATACACCTCTCCCTCCCATTTCCTCACCCGTCCCCCCACCTCCTCCCAGCCCTTTCCCCGCTTCCTTCCTTTTCCCATCCCAGTCAAATCCATCGACATGTTTCGTACCTCAGCCTATTGCATGAATATATGTAAGTTTTCCCTAGCTAAAGTGCAGAAAGCTCGTAGCCCTGATTTCAAGTGCTAGGTTTCCTCTCAGCCCGTAAATTTCAGGGCAACTTTTGGGGCACCTCAGCCTCTCAAGTTCCAGCTCCAAACCAATCGACAGCCCTGGTGGGGACCACTCACTCACGTCACCAGACACAAACAAAAGGCTGTCCCGCCCAACCGAACCGAGAGAAACGCCTAGCTCGAACAAGAAATCATGCAACCAAACCAAAGGGCAGGCTTGGCTTGTATGGCCTCGGGCTAGGTATGGGAGGCGTGAAATGGCGACGTGGCGACACGGGTTTTGACATGCCATGAGCAAAGCCACCAATCACAAGATACTGTACGGGTAAGGAGAAGAGAGCCCAGGCGGTTCTTTCGACGTCGGCGAACTTGATGGCGACATCTGATGGCAGTGCAATGGGGGCCTGCGTTGCTTCCCGTTCACGCCATTTGAGCCTATCTAAACGAGGCCCGATATACAGCCAATAGGACACAAATATAAGTATCAACTGTGAAATAGCTTACATGTGTATGTTTAGGCAAGTAGCTTAAATAAATGAGCAACAGGCAAGTAGTGGTTAGAGAATAAAAATTACAGATAATTTAGCTAAAACTGGTTGGAAAGGGGCTATTTTCCACTATTATATCAAGGTGCTTCAATCCCCAAGCGATCAAAACAAGATAATTTAAGGGTAAACCAAATCATAAGCCGACTGTGTACACTTTCATGAACAAGGAACAAATTAAGCAGAACCGCGGCATTCGGGTTCAGGGTTCCTGCCTGCTGTTGTGCGGCGAGATGGAGGATTCGCAGCGTTCTAGAAATTGCCAGAGCGATGTGAGTGGTGTAGGATTCGATAAGGACGCGGGCACTCGCATCCATTTTGGCGATCGATTGAAATTTTTCGATCTGCCACCGCACTGGAAACCTGCTATTATAATCTAGAACTTTCAACACCTGTTTAAAATTCGTAAAGAAACGATCCTGCCCCGAAATCGATCGCCGAAATCGGTGTGAGTGCCCGCGTCCTAAGAGCCAATAGTGATTCTCTCAGCCACTGCCAGCCGAAGTCTGCTCTGCAAGTGTTTTTACTTCACAGGGGCAGTTTGAATCTCAGACGAATCGGCATTAAATTCTGAATCCGGCTCGTTGTCCCAGAGTCAGACCCGAATGGATTCGCAATAAGGCCACTTTCGGTCCAGTGATAAGGAAATGCGGAAATAACGCCGTATTCGGGGTGGTGATAGCGAACAGCGAATTCATATAGCAACACACGAAATGGGCGAAGCAGCAGCGCACTAGGCAGTGCGGCGGCCGATTTGTCATAGGTTTATACAGGGGTCGGCTTGTAGCGGGGATACGGCAATGGACGAGGCGACAGAGCTCCAGGCGGTGCTGCAGGCCCTCGCGGTCGCCGTTGATTGGCGCACGGATCAGGCGTCTCGTGCTGCGGCCACGGAATTCCTCGAAAAGGTGATCATTGCTGTTCAGAAATAGACGCGGACAGGTTACCTGCTGAGTGACACGATCCTGACTGTAGCCTGCTCATCCGGTGCTGCTCCGCTGCATACTATGTCTGAAGATCCTGACTGTAACCGGCACCCTGCTGGTCCTGCTGGCGGTCTTGCAGCCAATGCGCTCCTTCCTGCCTCAATAGCCACGGACTGTCCATCCGCTGCCAGAAGCTCACGAATCCAGCTCACGTTTCCTGCCACCCCTTCGATCTCTCAACACTCCTTTTCCCCGCACGCAGCTCAAGACAGAGGAGGAGCCGCACCATCAGGCGTCTCCTCCTCTCCAAGTCACGCGTGTCCCGCGCTCTCCTGCACACGCATTCTTACCACATGTCCTGCCACCCCTTCAACCTCCCAACCCTCGGTGCCATGCAACAGCTTAAGACACAGGAGGAGCCGCACCATCAGGCGTCTCCTCCTTTCCAAGTCACGCGTGTCCCGTCTTCTCCAGCACACGCATTCTAATCACATGTCCTGCCACCCCTTCAACCTCCCAACCCTCCGTGCCACGCGCACAGCTCAAGACAGAGGAGGAGCCGCACCGACAGGCGTGGCTAGCAGCTCACCTGGTGAAGGGCGATCAGCCTGAGCATGCCCGCCTCTTCGCCTTCCACCTGCTGCAGGTATGCCTCCGCCCCATTCCCCATCATCCGTGGCCCATGGCCCATGAACCATGACCCGTGAACCATGACCCGTGAACCATGACCCGTGAACCATGACCCGTGACCCATGACCCGTGACCCATGACTCGTGAACCATGACCCGTGAACCATGACCCGTGAACCATGACCCATGACACCATGACCCCCCTGACCCATGACCCACGACCCCATGACCCCATGACCCTTTGACCCATGACCCATGACCTATGACCCCATGGCACATGACCCGTGACTCATTACCCATTACTCTCAGTAAATAACTCTCCTTTCCTTCCCCCCTACCCGCCCTCCCATACTCCCCCCAACCACCCCCCCCCCCCTTTTCCCCCGTTGTAAGAACGTGGCGCACAACAAGTGGCAGCAGTTCCCCACGGACGAGCGGCGCAGGCTGGCAGTGTACTCATTCCCCACGAACCCCCGTTCCCCCGTTCCCCCCGTCCCCGTACCCCTCTGTAACCCCCTAGAACGTGGCGCGCAACAAGTGGCAGCAGTTCCCCCCGGACGAGCGGCGCAGGCTGGCAGTGTACTCATTCCCCACGAACCCCCGTTCCCCCGTTCCCCCCGTCCCCGTACCCCTCTGTAACCCCCTAGAACGTGGCGCGCAACAAGTGGCAGCAGTTCCCCCCGGACGAGCGGCGCAAGCTGGCAGTGTACTCATTTGATCTGCTCAGGCGCTGTGCCGACACTGCTGGCGAGCCCTGGTCCATCCGCAGCAAGGCAGCCGCGCTGCTGGCTGATGTGAGTCGTTCTGCTGGTGCTGGTGCTATTTCTGGCGCTGGTTGTGCTGCTGCTGCTGCTGCTTCTGCTGCTGCCGCTTAACCCTTCGAGGCCTTGCCTCACTTTCTCTCCTACCCATTCCTGCAGCAGGTGATGAAGCGCGAGGGGTCAAACCCGCTTCTTTTTTGTGTAAAGACGTTTTGAACCCTTTTCCTCACCATTTTGTCGGCCTCAGATTGTGAAGCACGAGGGGTCGGACCTATGGAAGGAGATGCTGCCGTCTCTGCTTGCTCTCTCTGCTGCCAGCCCCATCCACGTGAGTCACATAGACCCTTTGCGAGTCTGTGCGAGTCTGTGCGAGTCTGTGCGAGTCTGTGCGAGAAAAGCAGACTTGATTGTGTAGGAGCGAGTTGAAAGTTATCCCATGTGAATTTATGCGGTCTCTGTTGTATCTGCTGCTTCTTTTTTCTGTCACTCCCTCTGTGATGCTACCTTACACTCGTTCTCACTCCCCCACTCACCCACTCCTTCCCCCCACCTCACACACACACACACCTTACAACCCCTATCCCACACCCCGTATCCCACACCCCCCACCCTCACCTCCCCCACCACATACACACTGTACCTTCCGCCGTCCGCCACCCCCACCCGCACCCCAACACCCAACTTTCCCAATCACCGGGCTGGCAGGCAGAGACGGTGGCTCTTGTGCTGCAGTTTGTGCCCGAAGATGTGACAGTCCATAACGAGGATATAGAAGGTGACTGTCTATAACGAGGATGTAGTGAATGAGGATATAGAAAATAGCTGTTCATCCACGCCATTCACGAGGATATAGTGCAAAAAGAGCATGGCCTTTTTTCATTCACAGAATTTGTCGTCCGTTCCGCCTTCCGTTTATGGTTGAGTGTACCATCTTCCATTGCCCCTGCCCCAAGCGTTCCCTCTGTCTTTCTCCCATTATCAACTCTATATCAAACTTCCACATTTCTCTATTGATGTTTAAAAATACCACCACCTCTTCAGATCCCAAACCTTGTCCCACCAGGCAACAGGAGGCGTCAGCTGCTGTTCGGCCTCACAGCTACTCAGCCACTGATGGCTTCTAAGGCGACTTAAAAACTACCTACTTCCTCTCCCTCCCCCCCCCCCTCCCCCCCTCTCCTCTCCTTCCGCTCCCCCCCTGTTCCCTTCCACCAGGCAACAGGAGGCGTCAGCTGTTGCTCGGACTCACAGCCACCCTGCCGCAGATCCTCCCCTTCCTCTACTCGGTCCGTGCCTTTGCTACTCCACCTAAGAGACTTTATCATCTGTTTTCCGGTTGTTTTGTTCTTTCACTCTTGCCTGTTATCTGGGTACCCTACTGCACGTCCGCTTGCATTCTTTATGCGGACTGCACTTATTCATGCGCGGTTTATGCTTTCTCCTTTCACACTGAGAACAAACCCTGGCACCAGATCTATTTTTTTGCCTTTCTCTGCAGCTTCTGGACTCCAACTTCGCAGCAGCACTGGCGGACATGCAGCAGAGCAACGTGGATGCAGCGAGGCAACTTGCATGCATTCGCTTGATGCCTGCATCTTCTCATCCCCACTCTTTCCCGCCCCCTTTCAGCTCCTAGACTCCAACTTCGCAGCAGCGCTTGCAGACATGCAGCAGAGCAACGTGGATGCGGCAAGGCAGCATGCAGCAGCCGTGACAGCAGGTCTGGCAGCGCTGGGAGCCTATGCAGAGTGGGCGCCTGTGCCTGCGATTGCATCTGCTGGCTTCCTCAATGCGTGAGTTTTAGGGTATAAGCTGGGTGGTGAGTGGTTTTTGTGACAGCAGGTCTGGCAGCGCTGGGAGCCTATGCAGAGTGGGCGCCTGTGCCTGCAATTGCATCCGCTGGCTTGCTCAATGCGTGAGTTTTTGGGTATAAGCTGGGTGGTGAGTGGTTTTTGTGACAGCAGGTCTGGCAGCGCTGGGAGCCTATGCAGAGTGGGCGCCTGTGCCTGCAATTGCATCCGCTGGCTTGCTCAATGCGTGAGTTTTTGGGTATAAGCTGGGTGGTGAGTGGTTTTTGTGACAGCAGGTCTGGCAGCGCTGGGAGCCTATGCAGAGTGGGTGGGCGCCTGTGCCTGCAATTGCATCCGCTGGCTTGCTCAATGCGTGAGTTTTTGGGTATAAGCTGGGTGGTGAGTGGTTTTTGTGACAGCAGGTCTGGCAGCGCTGGGAGCCTATGCAGAGTGGGTGGGCGCCTGTGCCTGCAATTGCATCCGCTGGCTTGCTCAATGCGTGAGTTTTTGGGTATAAGCTGGGTGGTGAGTGGTTTTTGTGACAGCAGGTCTGGCAGCGCTGGGAGCCTATGCAGAGTGGGCGCCTGTGCCTGCAATTGCATCCGCTGGCTTGCTCAATGCGTGAGTTTTTGGGTTTAGGAGCTGCAAGTCTCAGAGTTCCTAAACCCACAATAGATAGGTGGGTGTTTGTGTCTGTGGTTTGACAGCGTTGGGGTGGGGACGTGTGTGCAGAGTGGGCGTCTGTGCCTGCGCTTGCCTCTGCTGGCTTGCTGAAGGCGTGATTTTTCAGGGTTTTAGGTTTTGAAGTTCCGTCTTTTCCTTCCCATCACCCATGTCTCCTTTTCCCTACAGCTGCGGTTTCCTCCTTGGCTCGCCTGATTTCCGGATGGGAGCAGCGGATTTCTTCAAGCACCTGGCGGCCAGGTGGGTGGATGATGGATAAGGGTTGGATGCCTAACACGGTGCGTGGTGTGGTGGAAAGGAAGGGCACTAAGGTTCGAATGGTTGGGCCGTGAAAGATGCCCCTGCTGCTTGCTTCTCTTCGTCTGTAAGGTGCGTGCCTCATGGTTGTGACATGGTGAGTGGGTGAGGGACTGATGCATGGTGGGTGGGTGATGGTTTAGGGTTTAGGGTTTAGTGTTGAGAGCTTCGCCAAAGGGTTGGCTGGTGATGTTAGGGTGTTCAGTATTCTACTTAAAAACTGAACGGCCAGGGGTTCAAGGGCTTGTTTGGAGGTGATTTGAGCGTTTTTCATCTCACCCTCGCTGCGATGCACCTCTCTTCTCGTTGCCGTCCGCCTCTCTTCTCCCCCACTGCTGCTGACTCCCTTAAGGCGAGCACCTTCAGGCGAACAGGGGCCATTCAACACCGCCATGACATCGCTTACAGCTTCCTTTTGTCTCCAGCGAGTTTCCATTGCTGACGTGTCCCTCGACCCCATTATGCTCCACCCCTCTCTCCATCCGTGCCCTATGTGACTTTAGGCGAGCCCCTTCAGACGCCCCCCCCATGACATCAGTCATTGATTCCCTCGTCTCCAACTCTCCTCTCCGCTGTTTCCTGCCCTTATTGTCTTTTGCTCTCGCTGTCCTTCCCTCTCCCTGTTCCTTCCTTCAGGCGCTCTCCTTCAGACGACCAGGAGGCATTCAACGCCGCCATGACATCAGTGGCAGACTCCCTTGCCTCTGCAGCTGACGCCTCTCTCGATCTCAGCATATGCACTGCACCCCTCTGTCTGTCTCCCTCCGTGCCTTGTGTGTGACTTCAGGCGCTCCCCTTCAGACGGCCAGGAGGCATTCAATGCCGCCATGACATCAGTGGCTGACTCCCTCGTCTCTGCAGCTGACGCCTCCCTCCATCCCTCTTCCCACTGCTCACTCCCTTCAGGCGAAGCCCTTCAGACGACCAGGAGGCATTCAACGCTGCCATGACATCAGTCGCGGATTCCCTTGTCTCTGCAGCTGATGCCTCTCTCGATCGCATCACTGCCTCTACAGGCTCCGCCCCTGCTTCCTCTCCAAGGGAAGCAGCGGGGCAGCCGGGGGGGATGGCAGCAGGGGGCGGAGCAAGGGGAGGAGGAGGGGCAGGGGAGGTGGATGAGGGGGAGGTGGCGTTTGCTGAAAGGCTGTGTGAGGCGATGGTGGCGTTTGCACCGTCGAATTTGAAGAGAGCAGCGCAGCAGGACGACTCCAGATACGCCAAGTTCTTCCACACGGTGGGTTCTTTCAGGTGGTAAGGTCTTTCATTTTGAACAGTGAGTGAGTGTTCCCTAGACAGCAAAGGCACCAGGGGGGGAAGGGAAGGGAGGAAGGGGGGAACAAGGGGGGGAGGGAGGGAGGAGGGGTTTGCTGAAAGGCTGTGTGAAGCAATGGTGGCGTTTGCACTGTCGAATTTGAAGAGAGCAGCGCAGCAGGATGATTCCAGATACGCCAAGTTTTTCCACGCGGTGGGTGTGTGTGTCTCTTGAGGAGGGGGGGGGGGGGGGGGGGGTGTGAGTGTGTTTTTTTTCTGCTCGTTTTTCACAATATGTTGCTCCACACTGTGCATATTACCTATCAAATTTAGACGGCGAGGGACCAATTTTCGAAAGCGAAGGCAGTTTCATTTATTCACTCACGGGCCCCGTTCTTCTCTGCTTCCTGCTGCCACTCCCCTCTCTCGTGTTGACTTTTGAGTCGACTCAAAAGTCAACCCTGTTCTTCTCTGCTTCCCGCTGCCGCTCCCCTCTCTCATGCCTGCACTGCAGATGCTTCGCTTCTTTGAGTGCAAGTGCTTCTCCTTGCACGCCCTGGCACTGCAACTCTGGCTGGTAAGCTCCTCACACTTCACAAACACTTAGCGCACTTAGCAAACACATAGCACGCAATCACATTTATCATGGCTCATTCCTGCACTGCACCTACTCTTGAAGCCTGAACCTGGATTCAACGCTCATGGCTCCCCTCCGCCCCTCTCCACCCCTCTCCACCCCTCTCAACCCATCCAACTCCCAACCGTTTCCCCAGGTCCTACTGAGGGAGTCAGCACAGAGCACGAGCGGAGGAAAGGACAACAAGCGCGCTTCTGTGATTCTTGTGCCGCCCGATTTCTGCCTGAGGCTGCTGGACGTGGTGGCTGATCACCTGCCTCGGCGACCAGGGGAGGGCGAGGATGGGGAGGATGAGGATGGGGGATGGCAGGAGGAGTTTACCAACAGTGGGGACTATGCCCAGTACAGGAGCCGGCTGGTGAGTGCAAGGGAAGCGGGTGAAAAGGGAGTTGAGTGGAAAAGGGAGTGAATGAATGTCCATGACACCACTCGTAGCAGATCCTCCCCTCCATCCCTCTCCCCCCTCCCTCCCCACGCACCTCTCTCCCCTTGCAGATGGACGTGGTGCGTCTGGTGACACAGCAGCAGCCCCTCATAGCAGTGTCCAAGGTGGTCCCTGGGGATGGCAGGGCATGGCACAGCAACCCCTCTCCCCCCTCTTCTCTTCCTCCTTCAGACGGACGTGGTGCTTCTGGTGACACAGCAGCAACCGCTCATAGCAGCATCAAAGGTGGCTTCTCGGGATGGGAGGTAGGGGGGCATGGCAACTCAGCCCCATCACCCCCCTTTCCCCTCTCCAATCCTCTCCCCTCTCCACCTCTCTCCCCTTGCAGTTGGACGTGCTGCGGCTGGTGACACAGCAGCATCCGCTCATAGCAGTGTCCAAGGGGCATGGCCTTCACAGCCCCTTCACCCTCCCTCCCCTCTGCCCTCCTTCCCACCCTCCCTTTTCTATTCTGCAGATGGACGTGGTTCGACTGGTGACACAGCAGCAGCCGTTCATAGCAGTGTCCAAGGTGGCCTCTCGGGATGGGAGGTGGGGGGGCATGGCAAATTAGCCCCTTCACCCCCTCTCCCCTCTCCAATCCTCTCCCCTCTCCACCCCTCTCCCTTCAGATGGACGTGGTGTGGCTGGTGACACAGCAGCAGCCGCTCATAGCAGTGTCCAAGGGGCATGGCCTTCACAGCCCCTTCACCCTCCCTCCCCTCTGCCCTCCCTTCCCACCCTCCCTTTTCTAATCCTCAGATGGACGTGGTACGGCTGGTGACACAGCAGCAGCCGCTCATAGTAACCCCCACTTCCCCTCTCCAATTCTCTCCACTTCCGCCTCTTTCCACCTCTCTCCACCCCTCCCCCCTCAGATGGACGTGGTGCGGTTGGTGACACAGCAGCAGCCGCTCATAGCAGCATCCAAGGTGGCCTCTCGCATTGAAGCCGCAGTTGCTGCCGCCACCTCTGCTCCCCCGCCCCCCAAGGCAAGCCGTGGGGGATGTGGCATGGGGCATGGGGGCATGGGACAAGGGCACAGAGTACACGTGGGGCATAACGCATGTGGCAAGCACACATAACCCCGTTAGGTTTGTACTATATGCTATCGGATTGAGTGCATGTGCTACAGGATTTTTGAGAATTCTCAAAAATCGCTCACAAGGACTACAACTCCCAAGAGTCGTAATTGGTTGGAGATTACCAGAAAGTTACACAACTTTCTGGTAAGAGGGCGTTTCTCAAGCGGGGATGCGTCTACCTCGAGGTCGACAAATTGAATTCGTGGTAGTTGAAGAATTGAATTCATGGTAGGTGTGGAATTGAATTCGTAGCTGGTAGAATAGCTGGCAGAACTCTGCATGGCAAGTTACAACGGCACCCAGCTAGATGAATAGCTGGCAGACCGCTCTTGGGACTAGTACCTGGGGAATTTCGGGGTAGAGCAAGGATAGAGGGTAGAAAAGGAGATCTTAGCCACTCTTGTAAAGCTGAGATGGCGCTGATGAAGGCTCCGGCCGAAACGCGCGTACGCCTCAGAATTACTAGTTGACTACATGTCTTCTACTCTGCCCGGTTTTTCAAGCTCTACCTAGACTACCCCTAGTACGCGGAGAATAGATTTAGTTCTTTCACTCAACACGCGAGATCCGTAGGCTTGCTGCGGTCGAACCTCTTCTTACTGTTGCACGAGCTTCTGTGCTAGCTTGAGGACCTGCCAAGCCCGGATTTACTCGCGTTAATCTCATATGACTGACGATCGTGGCCTGAAGCGAACCTCGACGAATAGATCGCCAGAGGTGACACTATCGCGACAGATCACATTTCCAGCACACACGGACAAGAAGGCTACAGCTTTAGGGCCCAATTTTCCTGGTTTCGTAAGAGCTACTTCCTTACTTTTGACAGCGTTACTACCACCGTGTTTTGCAGAATTTTCTCGTAGTACTGCGGAGCTGACTGAGGTCAATCGCGGGAGACTTCAGAAAAGCAAATCCGCCAACGGATCTACTGATCTTCGAACGGGATTAGTGATCGACTGCTCTACCGTGCGTAGCGTTTTGGCACAAACGGATCGAATAGAGAATCCAACGACGACAGTTGCTGAAGTTGTCCCTGACTCTTACGAAGCAGAATTTGGAATTACATCGTCGATGGAGAATTTCGTTCAAGGTGTAGAAGCCGCACATGCGGCTCAGGCTGCTCAGCGCCAAGCGTTAGAAGCAGCTGCCCATGCAACAAATGGTCAAGGAGGCCAGGCGACCGAAACAGGAGGAGGTCAGGGTGATGCGCAGGGAACTGAGAGAGATCAGCATCTGCAGCAACAGCTTCGACAGCAGCAGGAACTCTTGCAGCAGCAAGTTTGGGCAACTGCCTTTGAAGCTTTTCGGGCTGCTCAACGGACTCCACAGGCGTCTTTTTCAACTGCGAACATGGAACAGACACATGAAGACAAAGTTCCTGATGTGTTCGTCAACCAACTGCAGTACTACTGCAAACTCTTCAGGGAGGCGACTGTCAAGCAGCTGAAACTGACTACCAAAGTGAAGCGACTTCAGAGTCTGTTCTCCGAAGGGAAGCTACCGAAGAGTTTCAAGTCTACCCCAATGACCTATTTGGGGAATGACGCAGAAATCAAATTGGAGGGGAATGAAGAATTCAAGCGGCTGGAGCAGAAATACCACAAATCCTGCTTCGAAACCCTCATCAAGCTTCACGAGAAGGAGCTGCAGAAGCTAACTAAGAGCATCGAGAATGCAAACGAAGATTTTCGTCTTCAACTGCAGAAAACTCGGGAGATGGGACCATCAGCCCTATTCACCGAGAGCTTCATCCACTGGGAACAGGAGCTGTTGGCGATGTTCTCCAAAGCCATTAAGGACATTACGGTCGAGGAGACAGTCTCGTACATGAACGTCCAGCAGGCTGCCCAGCTGGAGGCACAGCGTAAGATGGGTGCAAAAGCAGCAGCAGAAAACATGGAGGTCGAACCATCGGTGCAGGAGCTTGTAGACAAGGCTACCCGCATCAACAAGGATGATTTCTCTAAGAGGCTGGAAGCCATTGAGAAGCAGCTTTTCAAGAAAACTGAAACGCAGGCACGGGGGCAGCAGAGTCAGCCAAAGCAGCAGCAGCCGCAGCAGCAACAGCAGCAGCAGCAACCCCGTCAGCAGCAGCAGCAGCAGCAGCAGCAGCAGCAGCAGCAGCAGCAGCAGAAACCCCCACAGGGATACCACTCGCAGCAGACATTTGTCACTCCAACCTTCAACCACCAACCTCAGCATAGGTTTGATCGACCTTTCCCTCAAGCCTCTAACCAACCCTTCCACCGACCAAATCCAACTCCAGGAGATTGGAACAATCAGTGGCAGCAGCAGTACGGGCTCCAGAATCCAGGCCAGAGCCACTACATCCCTCGTGATCAATCCGTTGATCCAAAAAACGGATATGGGAGAGGGATGGGGAGGGGGAGGGGGGGAAGAGGAAGAGGACGCGAAGGAGAAGGAGGAGGACGTTTCCGAGGAAGAGGCAACCTTTGGGGGAGAGGGTAAGTGAGATGAATGATCATGACTTGGCTTTGTTCTACTTCGGGAGAATGACCGAGTCCCAGCTCAAAAGGAGAGTACGAAATCGAAGTATCTTCAACCTCAGCAGCAGGAAACTCACAGCTGATGAAGAAAAGACCTTGGGGCTAGGACTGAATTTTGTTCCTACGCCAACAGTTGCTCAGTATACTTCAGATGTGGATGTCCTTCAAAGTTTTGACAATTTCAGTAGAAATCTCAGGCTGAGAATTTTCTTTGGTGATACAGTTAGGGGGAAGGGATTTATAGTTCCAAATTCTTCTTGGGATGTTCCTCTTGAGAAGAGAAATGTATGTCTTGATGTACTAGTGAATGAACACAGGGGGATGCTTCAGCATAAACTGCTGGATGCAAGACCCAAGAGGCAATCAAACATGCCCAGAAATCTGAGGCATGCTTTGAGGACCCTCAGGACTGACCCGTCTATCGTTGTGAAACCTGCAGATAAAAATCTCGGGATCACAGTGATGGATAAGAGTTTCTACATCCAGATGGTCATGAAACATCTTCTTGATCAACTGGTCTACAGACCCGTGGGCACTGTCCCCATGTCTCAAATTCAAGAAGGATTTTCAAGGATTCGAAGAGACTTTGGTCCTTGCCTTTCAAAAAAGGTTTGGGATTATCTCGAGACTCCACCTGAGAATGGATGGAGACCCGCTTACTTCTATATTCTTCTGAAGATGCATAAGAAAATACCGGTTGGAAGACCCATTGCAGCTTCACACTCATGGATTACCACTACAACTTCCAAATGGTTGGATCAGCAGTTGCGACCACTACTTTCAAAACAGAAGACTTATCTCAAGGACAGTCTTTCACTTGTTCTCTCTCTGGAGGAAAAACAATTACCCTCCAGTATCATCCTTTGTACGTATGACGTGCAAAATTTGTATCCCTCAATTCCTATTACTGAAGGGATAGATGCAGTAGATAGGTTACTTTGGAAGGAGAATCACTCTCTTAGGCCCCTTATCATTCAACTTCTTAGATGGGTCATGTTTAATTCGTATGTACAATTTGATAGTGGAGTATACCATCAGGTTAGAGGGACGGCTATGGGGACCCCAGTTGCACCCGTTTTCGCCATCCTGTTTATGAGTTGGCTAGACGAGGAACTAAGCCGGAAGGTAGCCCACAAGCCACTTTTACATCTTAGATATATAGATGATGGGCTGATACTTTGGGACGGCTGCAAGAAGACCCTCGAAGACTACCTATCGGCCTTCAACAACCTACGTCCAACAATCAAGTTTACATGGGAGATCAGTCAAGAGAAGATTGACTTCCTGGACGTCTCCCTCTTCAAAGGAGACCGCTTCAAACAGAACGGGATTCTTGACTTGGCGACATTTCAGAAACCTCTGAATCGCTACCTCTACATTCCCTTCTCTTCCTTTCACTCAAGAGAGTGCAAGAAGGGATTTATCTCCAGTGAGCTCAAACGTCACTGCATTCGCAACTCCTCGTTCAACACCTTCTGGGAGCGGAAGGTACTCTTCTTCAACAGGCTGAAGGCAAGAGGATACCCGGACTACTTCCTCCGGCCAATCTTCAATCAAGTCAAATTTCAAGATCGACACAAACTGCTCCAATCCTGCCGAGACAAACAGACAAGGGAGGCCCCCCAATCCTGGAAGGTAAGAAGATGTCCAAAAACATTGGACTTGGGATTGGGGGAATTTTTGAGAATTCTCAAAAATCGCTCACAAGGACTACAACTCCCAAGAGTCGTAATTGGTTGGAGATTACCACGAAAGTTACACAACTTTCTGGTAAGAGGGCGTTTCTCAAGCGGGGATGCGTCTACCTCGAGGTCAACAAATTGAATTCGTGGTAGTTGAAGAATTGAATTTCATGGTAGGTGTGGAATTGAATTCGTAGCTGGTAGAATAGCTGGCAGAACTCTGCATGGCGAGTTACAACGGCACCCAGCTAGATGAATAGCTGGCAGACCGCTCTTGGGACTAGTACCTGGAGAATTTCGGGGTAGAGCAAGGATAGAGGGTAGAAAAGGAGATCTTTGCCACTCTTGTAAAGCTGAGATGGCGCTGATGAAGGCTCCGGCCGAAACGCGCGTACGCCTCAGAATTACTAGTTGACTACATGTCTTCTACTCTGCCCGGTTTTTCAAGCTCTACCTAGACTTCCCCTAGTACGCGGAGAATAGATTTAGTTCTTTCACTCAACACGCGAGATCCGTAGGCTTGCTGCGGTCGAACCTCTTCTAACTGTTGCACGCGCTTCTGTGCTAGCTTGAGGACCTGCCGAGCCCGGTTTTACTCGCGTTAATCTCATATGACTGACGATCGTGGCCTGAAGCGAACCTCGACGAATAGATCGCCAGAGGTGACACTATCGCGACAGATCACATTTCCAGCACACGCGGACAAGAAGGCTACAGCTTTAGGACCCAATTTTCCTGGTTTCGTAAGAGCTACAAGAGGCCAAGCACCCCACCTTCCCTCCTTCTCCCATCAGGTGGTGGCAGTGTTGGAGAGAGCGCGCATGCTGGAGGATGCGGTGATGACTGCCGTGCCCGATGCTGTCATGGCAGGTGCTACCATCTAGGCATGCATGCTGCTGCTGCTAACCTGCATAAGGCCAACCATTCCCTCCCTTACCTCAGGTTGTGGCGGTGTTGGAGGGAGCGCGCATGCTAGAAGACGCAGTGATGACTGCTGTGCCCGATGCAGTCATGGCAGCAGCCGCTGCTCACTCCACCAACCCTGCCATTCTTGCTGACGACCTTGGGCTCATTGTAGAGGGTGAGTGCAGCTGCTTGTATTGAGTATGTGGGATGTGACATGTTGCAGCATCTGCTGCTGTGTGTGCTGTGGCATGACCCCGTGCTGCTGGAGCTGCACGCACCCACTCCTGTTTGCTCAACCCCACCCGATTTCTCACCCACCTCTCCCGCGACCAGGCGTGTTGTGTTGCAGCGGCTGCTGTGTGTGCAATGGAGCGACCCCATGCTGATAGAGCTGCACGCGCACCTGCTGGACGCTCTTAGCCCCCTTTCTCAAGCATCTTCTTCCCCCTGTCTTTGCTCTCAACCCTCGCTGCCATTCCTCTCCCCCAGGAGTGTTACAGCGTCTGTTGTGTGTGCAATGGAGCGACCCCGTGCTGATAGAGCTGCACGCACACCTGCTGGACGCACTAGGTCCCTTCCTCAAGCACTCCCCGCCCGCTGCCGCCCTCGTCATTCCAAAGCTGTTCGACCTCCTCAGCTCTCTGCCGCCCACCCCCCTGGTGTGTATTCTGAGGTGTTCAGTCCCCTTCTGAGTTCACCACGCTCGGTCCCTTCCTCAAGCACTCCCTGCCTGCTGCCGCCCTCGTCAGCTCTTTGACCTCCTCAGCGCCCTGCCGCCCACCCCCCTGGTGGGTTCCCTGTCACCTGCTCTTCTGGGAGGTTGGCTTCTGGTTTCTGGGGTCCTCGAAGTTGCTGCTCCCCCCTTCATACCCAAGCTCTTCAAGCTCCTCGGTTCCCGGCCGCCCACTCCCGTTCTCACATCACACTTGAACGTTCTCATTTCCGATTATGTCTATGAAACATCTTATTCTCCTCTCTTCTCCCCGCCCCTATCTCTCTCCCTCTCCCCTCGCCCACCTCGTCCCTCCAGGGCGTGGAGCTCATGCTGCGCCCGGAGCGCAGCGAGGACACTCTTGTGTCGTCTGTCCGTCCCTCACCTTTCCCCTTCCTCTCCCGCTGCCTCTCTCCTCCTCCCCTCGCCCGCGCCCCTCCAGGGCGTGGAGCCAATTCTCGGCCCAGAGCGCAGTGAGGGCACTTGTAAGTCGACTCAAGCCTCAACAGTCACCTCTCCCTGTGAGGATCGCCTGCCTCGCCTTCAAGAAGCGTCACCTGTTCCTTCCCGTCTCTCTCCCTGTGCCCGCCCTCTGCTCTCTCCTCGTGTCCCTCCCCCTTCCCCAACCCCGCCAGGGCGTGGAGCCAATGCTCCGCTCGGAACGCAGTGAGGACCGCCTGCATCGCCTGCAAGAAGAGTCACCTCTCCCTCCCCCTCTCTCTCCTCGTGCCCCTTCCCCTCTCTCCCCTCATGTCCCACCCCATTCCTCCCACTCCAACAGGGCGTGGAGCCCATGCTCCACTCGGAGCGCAGTGAGGATCACCTGCCTCGCCTGCAAAAAGAGCCACCTCTCCCTCCCCCTCTCTCTCTCCCCTCATGCCCTTCCCCCTCTCGTTCCTCGTGCCCCTCCCCCTCTCGCCCCTCGTATCCAACGCTTTCCCCAACCTCACCAGGGAGTGGAGCCCATGCTCTGGCCAGAGCGCAGTGAGGACCGCCTGCCTCGCCTTAAGGAGAGCCACCTCGTGCCCCTCCCCCTCTCCCCTCCTCGCCCCCCTCCTCTCTCCCTTTCCTGTGCCTGCCAGGGCGTGGAGCCCATGCTCCGCCCGGAGCGCAGTGAGAACGCTTTTAAGTCGGCCCAATTCCGTCCTTTCTCGCTCCCTTTTCCTCCTCCCCTTTTTCCTCTCCTCTCAGGGCGTGGAGCCCATGCTGCGTCCAGAGCGCAGTGAGGACCGCCTGCCTCGCCTGCACGTGAAGCCATTTTGAGTGACCACCCATCTGCTTGTCTGTCACCTTCCCCTCTCCTCTCTCTCCCCACCAGGGAGTGGAGCCCATGCTGCGCCCAGAGCGCAGTGAGGACCGCCTGCCTCGCCTGCAAGTGTGCACATCCATCCTCAGAGTGGCGCGCGCTGCTGACGTTGCCCTTGTACCGATGCTCAAGGTGCGTTGCACGGTACCCGGTATCGCCTCAGACAAGGCAGTGAAGGTGAGGGGTGAGGACCGCCTGACTGCCTCGCCTGCAAGTGTGCACATCCATCCTGAGAGTGGCACGTGCTGCTGACGTTGCCCTTGTACCCATGCTCAAGGTGGATCATACAGTCCCTCTGTGTGTGTGTTGGGGTGGGGGGGAAGGGGGGGCAGGGGGGGTGGCTTCAATTGCATTCTTGAATCGTTCAGGTTTCGAGAAGCCTCAGAACTTGTAGCTTCACTTTTCCTCCCCGCCCTGCCCCTCCTCCTCTCCAGGCGATGGTGGATCAGGTGATGGGGATCGGCAGCAGCAGCAGGCAGCAGTGCAGCGCGTTACAACTCGTGCCCTTCCCCCCCCCTTATCTCCCCCCTCCCCTCCCTCTCCTCTCCAGGCGATGGTGGATCAGGTGATGAACATTCGGCAGCAGCAGCAGGCAGCAGTGCAGCGCGTGCAGCAAACCCAGTCAGGCGCGGTGCTGCATGGAGAAATTATTCTGCTCGCCGAGGCATTGTTGTTGGTGGCTGCTGCCGCAGGGTGAGTGAGAGTGAGGGAGTGAGGGAAGGAGTGAGGGAGTGGGATACAAGTCCAGCTCGTGCAGCAGACCCAGTCAGGCGTGGTGCTGCATGGGGAGATCATTCTGCTTGCCAAGGCACTGTTGCTGGTGGCGGCTGCTGCAGGGTGAGTGAGTGAGTGATGGGGCGAGGAGGGAGTGATTGAGTTAAGGTAGCAGTTAAGGAGCTGGGAGGAACCGCTCACTAGTTTTGGTTACTAATCAGAAAGGCGCCTTAAAGTTAGGGAGCCGGGAGGAACCGCTCACTTTCCCCTTCTTCGCACCCCCCTCTCCTATCCTCCCATCTCCTCTCCCCCCCAGTCCATCCCCTTCGTACGTACCAACACCGTCCCTGTCCAGTTGATCTGTTATGCCTTCTTCCCACCATCCCTTACTCAAAATTTGTTTTTCTCCTTTCCCTCCATACCAGCTTTTCTTACTCTCTCCTCCCCTCCCCTCTCCTCCACCCTCCCTACTCCCCCTCCCTACCAGTGCATCCCCAGTGAAGAGGCAGCAGTAGTGAAGGGGCTGCTGGCGCCCATCCGCGCCCTGGTTTTTGAGAATTCTCAAAAAAAGCACCCTCAAAGCACCCTCAAAGCACCCTCAAAGCACCCCACCTCAAAGCACCCCACCTCAAAGCACCCCACCTCAAAGCACCCCACCTCAAAGCAAAACCTTCCTCTCACACCCCGCCTCTCTCTCCCCCCTCCTCACCAGCGCAGCCCCAGCGAAGAAGCAGCAGTGGTGGAATGGCTACTAGCCCCCATCCGCGCCCAATGGGCGGACGCCACGTGGCAGGCGCGCTACCTCTACTCCCCGGCAGCCCTAACAGCCCTGCTGCTCCACGCCCCCGGGTCAGGCTCCCAGGAGGAAGCAGACTTTTGGGCCGTCTACCACAGCACCATGCTGCTCGAGCTAACAAGTGTTGATGTAGATATACCTTCAGTCGCCAACCTCCCCCTCCCCTCCCTTCTCCCCCCCATCCCGCCCCCCTCCCCCCTTCCCCACCAGTGCAGCCCCAGTGAAGAGGCGGCGGTGGTGGAATGGCTACTAGCCCCTATCCGTGCCCAATGGGCAGATGCCACGTGGCAGGCGCGCTACCTCTCCTCCCCGGCATCTCTAGCCGCACTCCTCCTGCACGCCCCCGGCTCTGGCTCCCAGGAGGAGGCGGACTTCTGGGCCGTCTACCACACCACCATGCTTCTTGAGAGAATCATGCGCCGCGCTGCTGTTGGCGGGGGAAGTGGAGCGGGAGGGGGAGGGGGAGGGGGAGGGGGAGGGGGAGGGGGAGGGGGGGCGGGAGGGGGTGGTGTGGCGGCGACGCCGCCGCCGTCTCCTGGGGTTGTGGGGGTGGCGGATGGGGTAGGAGGGGAGAGAGGGGCGAGTGGTGGGGGAGGGGGAGCGGGAGGGGCGGTGCACTGTGTGAGTCCGCACCTGCACTGGATCGTGCCTCCCTTGCTCAGAGTAAGTAAGACGAAGTTTGTGAGGGGGAGGTGGAGGGGGTGGTGTGGCGGCGACGCCGCCGCCGTCTCCTGGGGTTGTGGGGGTGGTGGATGGGGTTGGGGGGGAGAGAGGGGCGAGTGGTGGGGGAGGGGGAGGGGCAGTGCACTGTGTGAGTCCGCACCTGCACTGGATCGTGCCGCCTCTGCTCAGAGTGAGTGGGGGAGTTGGGGGAAGTGAAAGGGCGTGTGTGAGTGAGGGAACCTAGACCCGCATCTCAAGGGTTACCGGTCTCACCACATTAGGATAAGAAAAGGGGCCGCATATAATATCGAACCAATCTTGCTAAAAGCACCTCTGAGGCGCGTCAAGAGTTGTGAGTGAGGCGCTGCAAGAGAAAGGAAGGGCCGGTTTCAGTCCCTGGGCAGGGCAGGCGTGTGTGATGAGACGATTTCTGAGTCGACTCAAAAATCGTCCCATTGCAAAAGAAAGGAAGGGGCGGTTCCACTCCTCAGGCAGGCAGGTGTGGCAGGCACGAAGGAAGGCCTGCTGCTGCTGCTGCTGGGAGGGAGTTAGACGGTCAAGTTTCTTTCAAGTTTCTCAAGTTTCTCTCTGCTATATCTCTCCTTCCCCGCTTCCTCCCCCCTCCTCCCGCTCCCCAGTTGCTGCACTGCCTGCACGCTCTCTGGTCCCCTCAGGTGCTCGCCTCTCTTCCCCCTGCACTCGCGCCAGCACTGCTGGTGGGGCAGCAGGAGAAGGCGGCAGTGCTGGGGCAGGCAGGAGCGTCAGGCAAGCAGGAGGGCGTGCCGCTGCTGCTGGGGGGAACCGGGGGAGGTGGGGGGGCGTGGGGAGGCGGAGGGGGAGGCGGAAGGATGGGAGGAGGAGCGGGGGAGAGGCAGCGGGAGGCTACGGCTTTGGCAATGAGGCGGAATTGGCTCAAATGTGTGCGGGATAACAGGTGGGTGGATTGTTTCGAGATGTCTCAAAGTGGGATAACATAACAGGTGTGTGGATGCTTTCTGCAAGTTTTGAGGCGCCTCAAAGGCTGCTTTGGCGATGAGGCGGAATTGGCTCAAATGTGTTACGGGATAACAGGTGGGTGGGGTGGCAGGTGGGGGAGCCAGCAGGCAGGCATGGTGGTCCGTCAGGTGCTTTTTTTTTAACGCCTTATCATCGGCTACAGGGCTGGCTTGGTACGTGTCATTGGTAAGTGTGATGCCTGGACTTCTTAATCAACTAATAAGTCGGTCCGAATCCTCTTGTTTTTGTTCCTTTCTTTTTCAGTTATGGCTTCCTTGGCATGGCAGCGGCAAACGCCCCAGCAGCCTTCTTCTCCCTTCCCGAGCCTCCTGTCCCGAACCTGCAATCCCTAGGTTCGGTCTCGGCCCAGCAACAGCAGTTCGTCCTGGAGGTTCGGGCCGCACTTGCTGATTCCGTGGCTAGCATGGAGGCTCGGCACCTGCGCCTGCTGGAAAAGCTCATTCTTCTCCCATTGGTCAAAGCCTGTCCGCCGAGCCTCTATCCTCTCTGGCTCGGCACGCTCCTGCCGCCGATCCTGATCCACTGCGACCAATGGCTGACTGCCACGTGGCAGAGATTCCTGCAAGAAGGGCTGTGCGGGGGAGGAGGGGGAGCGGAAGCGGCTGGGGGAAAAGCAACTGCTGCTGGTGTTGCTGGTGGAGTGAGTGGGGGTGGTGAAAGTGAGAAGGAGAGGAGAGGAGGGCTGAAAGATGAGCTGTTTAACGAGAAGATTCTAAGGGACCTCACAAGAGAGACTTGCGGCCTGTTGGCTCTCTTCCCTGTCTTGCCTCAGTCGTCCTCGTTACAAGCTGCCTCGATTCAAGCCACGGCTTCTGCGCTAATGGCTGGAGTCTCTGGTGGTGGTGGCATTGTGGGTGCTGCTGCTGCTGCTGCTGCTGGTGCTGCTGGTGGTGATGAGAGGATGGACATGCATTCGGTGGCAACTGCGGCTAACAGCTTGTTGCAGTAAGTTTGGTTTGTGGTAAGAGTGGTGGTGGGTGGGTGGTGTTGCAGATGGTGCGGCTGCTGGTGCTGGTGGTGACGACCGGATGGACATGCCTTCGGTGGCAACCGCGGCTAACAGCTTGCTGTAGTAAGTTTGGTTTGTGGTAAGGTAAGTGGTGGTGCTGCTGCTGCTGCTGCTGCTGCGGGTGGTGCTGTGGGTGGTGCTGTGGGTGGTGCTGTTGCTGGTGCTGCTGGTGGTGATGAGAGGATGGACATGCCTTCGGTGGCAACTGCGGCTAACAGCTTGCTGCAGTAAGTCTGGTTTGTGGTAAGGGAAGTGGTGGTGATGTTTTGAGTAGTATTGCTGCTGGTGCAGCAATACTCGAATCCTGTCCTCCTTTTTGTGACAGCTCTTCTTCCCATCCTCCTTGCCCTTTCTTCGCCCCTTCCCCCCACAGCTTCCTCTTACAGCACCACCCGGAGGCAGCAGCAGCGTGCATCAGGGTGGCAATGGCAGGAATGGACTGGCCCGACAGCGATGCCTCTCCCATTTCCATCCGTAAACCCCTTGCTTCTCCACCCCCCACCCCACCCAGCTTCCTGCTGCAGCACCACCCGGAGGCAGCAGCAGCGTGCATCAGGGTGGCAATGGCAGCGATGGACTGGCCTGACAGCGATGCCTCTCACAAGGCTGTGCTCTTCAACTCCGGCCTCGTGCACATGCCGGAGCTGCTCGCCGAGCCTGCTGCCCCGGCTTCCGAGCCTCCAGCGCAGCTTCGGGAGATGGTCGGCCGGACCATGTTTGCAGCGGCGGTGCAGGCGCTGACTCTGGAGTCTAATGCGGGGATCCAGGCGCATATTGTGGCATTGTTGAGGGATATTTACCTTCGTCTGGGTCCCATCACCTCTGCTCCTAGAGAGGTTTGCAACACTGTGGCACCCTTTCTTCTGCTCTCTCATGCAACCAATAGCATGATTTCTTTCTCTTCTCCCAGCAACTTCGCACTTCCTTTCTCACTCCCCTTTTCACTCCCTTTCTCCCTCCACTCCGACTCACCCGAATCTCCTCACATCCTTCACATACACATTCCTTTCCCTTCTCTCGTTCCTCTTCCCCCTTTCCCTTCCCTTTTTTCTCTTCCACTTCCCCTTTTCCTTTTCCTTCCTCCCAGGTGCTCCTCTCACTCTCCATTCCACCCGAGGCCCTTGCTTCTTTTGAAGCTGCCCTCAAGAGTACGGGCAGTGCCAAGGAGCAACGGGCAGCCTTCAGAACTTTGCTCACAGGCGTGGCTGGCGGTCAGCTGAAAGCTTTTTCTGCCCAGAAGAATCCCACGACTATCTCAAACGTCTCAGGTGCCTACACCCTCCACCCGCCTAAATTTATAAACGAATCCCTGTAAAGTGTTCCAGTCTCTCCACACTTGTTATCTCCCACCCTTAATTCACTACCGTAATACCCTTTCAACCTCTCTTCTTTCCACCCGTCTTACTGCCCCTTGAATCACTGTTCCTCCCCGCTCCCCCTCAATTCTTCTCTATCCTTTCCGCTCCCCTCATCCTGTCCCTTTTCAGGGGTAATAAGAAGCACATCTAATCCAAATTCGTCTTCCATCGATCAATCTGCACCGTCCATTGGCCTAGCATCATTCGGCAACATGCCTTCCAACCAATAGCAGCCGATCCATCGGAGCCATTTTTTCATTCAAGCTGATGTCCTGTTAGCAATCAGGCTTAGTTGGTTCATGCTTTGCAGAACCAATTTTGACGGCCAAGAAGTATTCCTAGAGCAATATTTGCAGAACCAGTCAGCTTCTAGGTTCGCTAGATGCTCCTCCTCCAACCCGGACTTGTAGTTCTACAAAGTGTTATACCGTTTTACTGTGAAATTACTGGAAGCTACATATTTCTCTCGTTTGAAGGCGCAGTTATATGTTGCGGACACCCTTCTAAGGTGGAGATGGTAATCTGGAAGATCAATTTCGAACCTCATCAATTTCAAGGCCGAGGCATCGAAGGCCGACCAGCCATTACGTGGAAACCAGACACTATTGAGCCAGCTGCCAGAGCATTTCTGACAGCTCAGCTTGAGCGGCGTAAGTAGTACGGTGCATATGGGTTTTACGACCGCCATGTAGAGCGCTGGTTGCTTTTAAGAATTCCGAAAAAAAGGGCGGGGAAACGCGTGCCATCCCGTGTGCAGCCAGGAAACAGTTTTTTAGAATTAGAATTCAACGATAATAAAATCCTCAATAACTAGGCGTGTAGTCCGACGAACCGCGAGATGAGCGACGCAGCGACGGTAACGGGTCAGCATGTAGAAGGAGAAGCGAGGCAGCCGAATCCGGATGACACGTGGCAAAAGCTCATTCGCCAGCTGGAGGACTGTTTTTCGGATGAGGTGAGCAGCGAATGGCCGACGTCATCTGGGAGATGAGAAGTGAGAGGTGAGATGAGGTGCGAGGTGAAAAGTGAGAGGTGAAACCCGCCTGGATGTCCCCTGGATCCTCCCTCTGCGTCCGCACTCCACGGTTGCTGCGACTGGTTCTTATTCTCCTCAGAGTGTCACGTCGTTTCACAGCTTTCCACCTCCCTGCCTCTCTCTCGTCCCGCCTCCCTGTTTCCAGAAAGCCCCCTGGATCCTCCCTCTGCGTCCACACTTCACAACTGCTGCCCGTCAGGCTTTCACATTCCCCCTCCGCCTCTCACCCCTCTTCTGCCTCTCTTTCTGCATTTCCCTCCCACCAACTCTTCCTCTCCCCATTTCCTAACCTCCAGAAAGCCCCCTGGATCCTCCCTCTGCGGCCGCACTTCACAACTGCTGCTCATCAGGCTTTCACATTCCCCCTCTTTCCGTCTCTCAACCCCCCTCTGCCTCTCCCTCCCACCTACTCTGCCTCTCTCCTCTTCTTAACCTCCAGAAAGCCCCCTGGATCCTCCCTCTGCATCCGCATTTCACGACTGCAGCTCGTCAGGCCTTCACATCCCTCCCTCTCCCCGCCTCGCCCTCTCCCCCTTTCTTAACCGCCAGAAAGCTCCCTGGATCGTCCCTCTGCGTCCACACTTCACGGCTGCTGCTCGTCAGGCTTTCACATCCCTCCCTCTCCCTCCCACCACCTCTCCCTCTCTCCCTTTCCTTACTTCCAGAAAGCCCCCTGGATCCTCCCTCTGCATCCGCACTTCACAGCTGCTGCTCGCCAGAATTTCACATCCTTCCCTCTCCCCTCCTCTCCCTCTCCCCGTTTCCTAACCTCCAGAAAGCCCCCTGGATCCTCCCTCTGCGTCCACACTTCACGGCTGCTGCTCGCCAGGCTTTCTCATCCTTCCCTTCGCCTCTTAACCCCCTTCTCGCTCTCTCTGCCTCTTCCACCCACTCCCGCTCCCTGTGCCCGCCTCGCCCTCTCCCCATTTCCTAACCTCCAGAAAGCCCCCTGGATTCTCCCTCTGCGGCCGCACTTCACGGCTGCTGCTCGTCGGGGCGACCCCTTCCTCTCCCTCCCTGCTGCCGTCTTCCCAGCCTTCGTGAAGAAGGTAATTCCACTCCATCCATTCGTCCACCCAGTCAACTAAATGCTGCTTCTGAGACGGCTCAAAAGCGCCACGGCGACCCCTTCCTCTCCCTCCCTGCTGCCGTCCTCCCAGCCTTCGTAAAGAAGGTAACTCCTTTCTCCCAGCCTTCGTAAAGAAGGTAACTCCTTTCTCCCAGCCTTCGTAAAGAAGGTAACTCCTTTCTCCCAGCCTTCGTAAAGAAGGTAACTCCTTTCTCCCAGCCTTCGTAAAGAAGGTAACTCCTTTCTCCCAGCCTTCGTAAAGAAGGTAACTCCTTTCTCCCAGCCTTCATAAAGAAGGTAACTCCTCGCAGCCTTCGCCAAGAAGGTAACTCCTTTCTCCCAGCCTTCATAAAGAAGGTAACTCCTCGCAGCCTTCGCCAAGAAGGTAACTCCTTTCTCCCAGCCTTCTTGTGGACCAAACCAGCCATTGCCAGAAGCTGCGCGCGTGCCTTTTTCCCCCTTCCCCGAACATCCCTCTCTATCCCATCCCCCTACCCCTCCTCTTCCCCTTCGCCCAACCTCCCCATCTCCTTACTCCCTTTTTCGCTGGGTGCTCTCCGTTCTCTCCTTGAGTGTTGTTTTTCATACAAACTAGTATGCAGAAATGGGCAACAATACAGGGGCGGCACAAGAGGTGAAGGTAGCCGACTTTTGAGACGTCTCAAAAGTCAATACAGGGGCCTTTTGAGACGTCTCAAAAGTCAATACAGGGGCCTTTTGAGACGTCTCAAAAGTCAATACAGGGGCCTTTTGAGACGTCTCAAAAGTCAATACAGGGGCCTTTTGAGACGTCTCAAAAGTCAATACAGGGGCCTTTTGAGACGTCTCAAAAGTCAATACAGGGGCCTTTTGAGACGTCTCAAAAGTCAATACAGGGGCCTTTTGAGACGTCTCAAAAGTCAATACAGGGGCCTTTTGAGACGTCTCAAAAGTCAATACAGGGGCGGCACAAGAGGTGAAGGTAGCCCTCTCTTCGAACACTAAATCCCAGACCCTCAACCCCCTCCCTCTACCTCAGGTCACTTCTGCCTGTGCATCCATCGACCCTGCGTGTGACAGCAATCCAGCAGCAGCTCTAGCACTCGTGCTGGCAGCAGTGCCCCGATCACAGAGACTAGAGCTTGCAGTTGCTGCTTCACCTGCTGCTACAGTGTCTGTTACAACTACTGCTACAGGCTTACCAAGTGCTGCTACAACTACTGCTACAATCCCACCAGCCTTACCGTTACAGGGGCATGGGAGGGGGACGGGAGAAGCGTGTGAGGGGGGGGCACGTGAGGGATTTCCTTGGTCCAGTTCTTGGGTGAGGCGGCGGGAGGCAGCTTCTGAAAAGGTTCTTCAGGAGCTGCTGGTACCAATGCCCGCTGCAAAGAAAGGCACAGAGGGAGAGGGAGGCGGAGGGGTGGGAGCGAGGGATGAAAGAAGTGAGGATAAGGCAGGTGAACAGGTGACTTTTGAGTCGACTCAAAAGTCTGCTGGGAAGAAAGCCACAGAGGGAGAGGGAGGGGACAGGGTGGGAGTGAGGGATAAAAGAAGTGCGAATGAGGCAGGTGAAAAGGGAAAGGAAGGATTGGCTGAGGATGTTGCAGGGAAGGAGGAGGTGAAAGAGGAGCCAGTGAGAGGGGCAGCTTTGAAATGCAAGGATGGGGAGGAGGGACCTAAGACAGCCGGTGCGGCTGCAAACGCACTGGAAGAAGGAATGGGAGGGGAGGAACAAGCGGAAAGAGCAGGGACGAAGGAGGAAGATGAGGGTGGGGAGCGGCGTGTGTCGATGGTGGTCATTCCTTGCCCCTCATCCCCGTTATTGCATGCATGCAAGAACCAACAAAACCAGCAGCACCACCACCACCAGAATCAGCGGCAGCAGTGCAACCACGAGTTGCCGCGGACACTGAGTGTAACTGTAAAGAGGGACGAGTACATTCTGGATCGAATAGCGGAGGTGCTTGTAACGAGCTGGTCTGGGGGCGAGAGCAGCAACGGGTGCAGTGGCAGCAGTAGCAGCCGAGAGGGCGATAGTAGCAGGGAGAAGAGCAGGAACACGAGAAGGGTGGTTGGTGCGGATGCTGGTTCACTCGTCATTTCCAAGTGAGTGAGGAAATGCATCTGTGTCCTATCTGCAACCCATTCGTCCATCCATCCATCCATCCATCCATCCATCCATCCATCCATCCATCCATCCATCCATCCATCCATCCATCCATCCATCCATCCATCCATCCATCCATCCATCCATCCATCCATCCATCCATCCATCCATCCATCCATCCATCCATCCATCCATCCATCCATCCATCCATCCATCCACCAATCCATCCCAATATCTCCTCCTCACGTCCGCCCCTCCTCATCCCCCTACTCCCTCTCCCACTCCCTTCTCTCCCCCACCCTCATTTCCCTCCCCCCTCCCGTAACAGACTGCTGCACAAGCATCATCCTCACATGCGCCTCTTCTCGCTGCATTGTTGTCGTTTTTGAGGCGCCTAAAAAACGACCCTCATTTCCCTCCCCCCTTTCCCAACCCAACAGACTGCTGCACAAGCATCATCCTCACATGCGCCTCTTCTCGCTCCTCCCAGCCTCCCTCTCACTCCCTCACAACATCTCTCCGCCACCTACACAACCATTAGTCTTACCAGTCCCTGGAGCAGAGACAGCAGCAACAGCTTCAGCACTACCTCCAAATGCTACCACCAGCACTACTTGCAGCAGGGCGGCAGTGGACAGCGCGGCAACCTGCCAGCTGGCAGCGAATGGTGCAGACACCTGCCAGCTGGCAGCGAATAGTACAAACACATGCCAGCTGGCATCAAACAGCAACACATCGACCCGCCAGCTGGCAGTGAACAGCATGGCGAGCTGGCTGGCGGGGTGTGAGGTGCGGGGACCTGCAGTGGTGGCGGTGGTGGAGGCATCTTGGAGCGATGGGCGGAGGAGAGGGGAGATGGAGGAGGAAGGGGTGACGGCGTGGGACGTGTACAGGTGGGTGTGTGGGTGAGATTGTAATGGTGGCATGGGACGTGTACAGGTGGGTGCAAGTGAGGTTGCAACATGCAAGTGCGAATTCTCAAACGTGTAGGCGTTTCTCCCACCCACCTATACATCTTCCTGCCTCGTGTAGCCGTTTTATGCTCTCGGTCTTTCACTCTTTGTTCCACACTTCCCAACCTTTCATTGCTCCTCCGCTCCACACCTCTCCCCACCCTAACACCCCTCCAGGCGCCTGCTCGCCCGCCATCCCAGGGGCATGTACCAGCTCAGCTGGATGCGCCTCTCCTCTCCTCGCTCCCTCTCTCCTAGTCTTAATCTCAATCTGTTCGTCCCATCCTCTCCACCCCTCTCCACCTCTCCCCACTCCAGGCGCCTGCTCGCCCGCCACCCCAGGGGCATGTACCAGCTCAGTCTAGAAGCGCCTCTCCTCGCCTCCTTACCCCTCTCCTTCTCCTCCTCCGCTCTCTGGCGTGGCAAGCACCCCAAGCCCATGCTGCTGGAGCTCTGCACCATGCAACGAGCGATTGACCCCTCGCCCATGTGTGTTTGTGGTTCCGTGACTGCGCATGAGCACCAGGAGTGGCAGGAGCAGCAGCACGAGCAGAAGGCGCAGCAGGAGCAGGAGCAGAGGGGGCAGGAGAAGCAGCAGGAGCAGGAGCAGAGGGGGCAGGAGAAGCAGCAGGAGCAGGAGGGGCAGCATGGACGGTGCTGCGAGCGCAAGTCGATGCAGCTAGTAGCTGGAGACCCTGTGTTTGAGTTCCTATCCCCTTCAGGCTCCGTCATACCCACAACCACAACCACAGGCCCAGGCACAGGCACAGGTACAGGTACAGGCACAGGTGGTGCGGGTGGTGGCACCAGTACCAGCAACACCACTCACAGCAGCGGTACAGCTGGCAGCAGCAGCAGCAGCGGTGGCTTCAAATGCCGTGTCACTATCAGCAGAGGCCCCTCCCTCCCTCCCTTGATTGCTCTCTCTCCGCGCCGCTACGCTGCACGCATGGATGCTGTGCATGCTGCTTGCTTAGAGGCTCTGAGGGCGATTCAGAAAGAGTATGAGGAGGGATGGGGGAGAGTCGTGGATCCCTGGTGGGCATGGGAGGGGGAAAGGCAAGGGGAGAAAGGTGAACGAATGGATGTCTGTACACGAGACGGAAATGGAAAAGATGGAGAGGAGAGGGTGGGGAAGGAAAGGGAGGAGGAGAAGAGGGAGGAGAAGAAGAGGGAGGAGGAGGCTGATGGGGATGGCGCAATGGCAAGGAAGCGACTGAAGGAGGTTGAAGATTCCTCCCCAACACGAGCACAAACCAGTGCGGCAACAACGCTAGGCAGCACTGATGCGGCAGTGACATCTCTAGGGACTTCCCCAGGCCCTCCGCCCCCTTCCTCCACACCTGCTGCCTTGGGTTGCCTCGTGTCCATCTCCTATAGGGTATCCCAGCAGCAGGGCAGAACACTGCCTCACAGTGCCTCAGAAGAGGTCTTCTCGGAAGGCAAGGGGGAAGTGTGCTTGGAGAGCAAGGAGTGTTTTGACTTTGAATTTGGCCGCCGCTGTGTGGACGAGCGGATCGAGGCTGTGATTGGCCGCTTGCTGCCAGGTCAGACTGCTGACATCAGCGTTCCGATAAGAGGGCATCTGCCGCCCTTCCCGGCTCTGGAGGCGATTCAGCCTGTGACAGGTGAGGAGAGAGGGAGGGGGTGGTGGAGTTGGGGTTTGAGGCGAGTTGTGAGGCGCCTCAAAAATCTGCCGCCCTTCCCGGCTCTGGAGGCGGTTCAGCCTGCGACAGGTGGGGCAACGGTGGTGGTGGGTGTGGTGTGGCTGTGGTGGTGGGGATGGGGTGGTGATGGGGCGGTGAAGGGGTGGTGATGACTGAAGTGGCGATGATGGGGATGGTGAGTGCTAATGAGGCTGTGCTTCTCCCGTGTTCCTGCTGCCTACCACAGTGCTTGCATGCAAGGGTATCTTCCGTGCCCCCACCAGCACTCTCCTTTTTCCATGCCCCATGCCTCATGCCCCATGACCCATGTCCCATGACCCATGGCCCATGCCCCATGCCCCATGCCCCATGCCCCATGCTCCATGCCCCATGCCACATGCCTTACACACCCGCATCCCAGTCCCCTCGGCCCTGCGCTGGCGAGTCACCCTGCTCTCAGTGGCAGCAGCGGAGGAGGAGGATCGCATCGATGCAGCCATCTTCTCCCCCTCCCTCTCCAAGCAGCGCCTTGCCTTTGCTGCTGCACTCATTTCAAAGCACGCTCCAGCTTTCCTGGTGAGTCCGTAGATTCCAACTTCCTGATGGAAATTTTCACGAGTGGCTGGGTGTTGTCGCTAGGTGTGAGGCACTGCTTTGCAACATCTCTGTCTCTGTGTGTTGTCCCAGAACCAGCAGTGGCTTGTGCCGTTTACCTACACAAGGAAACCGCTACATTGCCTTTCCCATGAACATATTTTCTATCTCTCTACCTCCGTGCGTCTGCGCTTTTGCTCTCATGCCCAGCTGGACGTTGGGTGCGGGTCCGCCTCTCTCTTTGACTACTTACTGTCTGCTTCAGCTGCAGCGAGCAAGGGCGGTGGCAAGGGCGGTGGCAATGGAGGAAGCACTACTACTGGCTGTGACAACGGCAATGGGGGCAACGTTGAGCCTTTTCAGTTGCCTGCGAGCATGGTGGGGTTTGACATCAGCCAGAAGGAGTTGGAGCGGGCTGGTCGGGTGAGTGGATGGGGCAGGGAGGGGGGTGGGGGGGAGTGCACGTGCTCTCTTACCATGCGGGGCACTTTGTGCCCCTTCTCAAGTCTAAACCCAACCCGTCGCCGTCAACCCTCCACTCCCGCTCACTCCTACATCCCCTCTCTCCCATGCCTCCCTGTCGCCCGCTTGAATGGTATCAGAGCCTTACTCGCACCATCACCAGCCTGCAAGCAGCCACACAGGCTGCACCAGAAACAGCCTGCACTGCTGCAACAGAGGTGCAACCTGCACCAGAAACGACCTGCACTGCTGAAGCTCAGGTGCAACCTGCACTAGAAACGACCTGCACTGCTGCAACAGAGGTGCAACCTCCACCAGAAACGACCTGCACTGCTGCAACACAAGCAGCTTCAGCCCGGTTGGCGCTCTATGCTGGCTCCCTTGCTGACGTGGATGATCGCATGAAGGGTGCTGACGTGGCAATTTGCTTGGAGGTATGCTATGGAGTGACGTATGACACAATAACCTTGGAGCCGTCCTTGGCTTTCTGTTTGTCTACCCATGATTGCCCTTCCGCTCTTGAGTGTACGTGGAGTAACCTGGAGTTGACAACGACCTGTTGCTACTATTCTTCAGAGCGCCTGTGGCCATGTGCTTGCTCTTGTTGGCTTGCTCTCGGTTTGCTGCTCTCCATCTCAATGCTCGTTTGTGCATGTGTCCATGTAACATCCCTACCCTACTCCATCAGGTGGTGGAGCATTTAGACGAGGAGCCGTTAGCAGCCTTTGGAGGAATGAGACGTCTCAACACAATGCGTGCATTTATCCATCATTCCTACTCTACTGCATGTAACATCCCTACTATACCCCGTCAGGTGGTGGAGCATTTAGATGAGGAGTCGTTAGCAGCGTTTGGGGCCGTGATGCTTGGAGCACTCAGACCACGTGTTCTGCTTGTCTCCACGCCTAATATCGAGTACAACCCTGCCATCCGTACCCCACCCCATCAGGTGGTGGAGCATTTAGATGAGGAGCCACTAGCAGCCTTTGGAGCCGTGGTGTTAGGAGCACTCAGACCACGTGTTCTTCTCGTCTCCACGCCGAATATCGAGTACAACCCTGCCATCCGTGCTGCCACCGCTAGTGCTGCCGCTGATGCTCCTGCTGTTGTTGCTGATGCTCCTGCTGTTGTTGCTGATGCTCCTGCTGTTGTTGCTGATGCTCCTGCAGCAGCTGCTGCTGCTGCTACTGCAACCGATGCTGCTGCTGCTGCTTCAGTTGCTACTGTTGCTGCAACATCTGCAACAGATGCAACATCTGCTGCTGATGCTGCTGCTGCTTCCGCTGATGCTGCTGCTGCTGCTGCTGATGCTGCTGCTGCTGCTGCTGCTGATGCAAGTGCTGCTGCTGCTAGTGATGCTGCCACCCCACTTGCTAGCAGTTCCAAGGTGCTGGACCCATCACTGCAGCAGCCACAAGAAGCAGGAGGGCAGGCAGGGGGAGGGAAGAAGAGGAGGAAAAAGAAGAAGGGACAGCAGGCTGGCCAGCAGGCAGGTCAGACAGGGCAGCAGCCTCAGGAGCAGCAGCAGCAGCAGCAGCAGCATGAGTTGCGAAATTCTGACCATCGATTCGAGTGGACCAGAAAAGAGTTCGAATCATGGTCGAATGCACTGGCGCAGGAATATGGTTACCATGTTACATTTGGTGGAGTTGGCGTGTTGCCTGAAGCAGAGCACCTGGGATTCGCCTCGCAAACCGCTGTTTTTGAAAGAGTCGATTGTGAAATGAAGGATTTAGGGTTGGAGGAGGTTGAGAAGATGGAAGTTGATGCTGCCAAGTTAGTAGAGGATTTGGAGGGTGTGAAGAGGCCTTACGAATTGGTCTGGGACTGTCAGCTAGCTTGCTAGTATGAAGAGAGCTTAGGCGGGAATTTTCCATTTTCCATGAAAGAGGTTAATGAAACATATTCTGTTACATGCAATTTCATACTTTTTGTTTGCAGGATCTGATGTGTGTTGGATGCGGTATGTCGTGGTCCAGTTGCTCTCTGGTAAGGAATCCCCCCCAGTGAATAGCTCGCTCGCTCGATTTTCTTCGTTCTGTTTTGTCCATTTTCATTTCACCCTGAAATTGCCGTAGCGGGGGATTTGACACTCCCACACGGACTGCCATTCCCAGTACCATCATAACAATCCGGGACGGGCGACTGCAGTGCAGCGCAGGTGACAGCACAGCACAGCACACATACTGCTTCGAGTACGTTACGTTACGTTCATTCCGACACCGCACTGCCGTGTCATTTCTCGCGGGCCTCCCCTGATGTGGGTTCGTACTGCCATCCCCCTCGAGAACTCCGCGGCTCGCCTCTCGCGTTTCATCATCCCGTCCGAGAAAAATATCGTCACTCCAGCATCGGCCTTGCCGAACGGTTCTCTGATCCACGTCAGCACCACGTCCGTCCGTGGCTCTCCCAGCCACACTAACCCAGTCGCTCCGTCCGCTACCGCTATTCCCGCGAACGGTCGTGTAAATCGATTTTTGACTCGCAGCTTTCCTCGTTCCAGTGGATCTTTATTCGGTTCAGATTTCCAGAATCGTACAGACGCCCAAAGCTCAATCCCCGCCGTTTCCAGACCCTCGGGTCGTCAGTTTGACCCGCACACTCCGCTTGATCGTACCGCGTGTCGCGCTCTTGACCAGCAGAAACGCGGCTCGGCGTCACTAAGCGGTTCGGATAAGCGACAATTCGGCGTTGCAGCCGCGGCCGCCATGACTGGAACGCCAGAATCTGCTGTAGCGGGAACTGCAGTTCCCATGGCGAAACTATCTTGCCGGATTGTGAATACCGACGAACCCGTTATCGTCCAGGTCCGTTACTGTTTCTTCGTTCGTTCGTTAGTCTTCCAGTTTTGTGAAACCTACACCACCCGCGGCCATTGTGGATCGGCATAACCTCGCCAGTTCGTCAAATTCCTCCAGGGGCGTTTCTGAAATTCTCTTACCTTTTCTTCCCCCCTTTTTCCCGTATTTTCTCGTTGTCTTCTTCCGTTTTTCTCCAACTATTACCTCTTTCTTCTCCCCGTCCTTTCCCCACTATTCTCCTCTCTCCCCATCGGACCCCCATCTCTCCCTCCTCTCGCTTTCCAGATGCGTGACCTCATGACGCTCAACCCTGACGTCATGTCGCTGGGCCAGGGCGTGGTGTACTGGTTACCACCCGACGCAGTCCTGGCAGCGGCGCAGGCAGCGGTGCATGACCCTGTGAGCAGCGGGTACGGTGTGGACGATGGAACTAAGGAGCTCAGAGCAGCGCTGGTGGAGAAAGTCAAGGCGGAGAATGGACTCATGAATTCCTCTATCATGGTCACTGCTGGGGCCAACCAGGTGAGAGAATGCCAAGGCAGAAATCTGTAGGCGTGCATGTGAGCAGTCCTAGCAGCAGCACAGGCAGCGGCGCAGGCAGCGGTGCATGACCCTGTGAGCAGCGGGTACGGTGTGGACGATGGAACTAAGGAGCTCAGAGCAGCGCTGGTGGAGAAAGTCAAGGCGGAGAATGGACTCATGAATTCCTCTATCATGGTCACTGCTGGGGCCAACCAGGTGAGAGAATGCCAAGGCAGAAATCTGTAGGCGTGCATGTGAGCAGTCCTAGCAGCAGCACAGGCAGCGGCGCAGGCAGCGGTGCATGACCCTGTGAGCAGCGGGTACGGTGTGGACGATGGAACTAAGGAGCTCAGAGCAGCGCTGGTGGAGAAAGTCAAGGCGGAGAATGGACTCATGAATTCCTCTATCATGGTCACTGCTGGGGCCAACCAGGTGAGAGAATGCCAAGGCAGAAATCTGTAGGCGTGCATGTGAGCAGTCCTAGCAGCAGCACAGGCAGCGGCGCAGGCAGCGGTGCATGACCCTGTGAGCAGCGGGTACGGTGTGGACGATGGAACTAAGGAGCTCAGAGCAGCGCTGGTGGAGAAAGTCAAGGCGGAGAATGGACTCATGAATTCCTCTATCATGGTCACTGCTGGGGCCAACCAGGTGAGAGAATGCCAAGGCAGAAATCTGTAGGCGTGCATGTGAGCAGTCCTAGCAGCAGCACAGGCAGCGGCGCAGGCAGCGGTGCATGACCCTGTGAGCAGCGGGTACGGTGTGGACGATGGCACTAAGGAGCTCAGAGCAGCGCTGGTGGAGAAAGTCAAGGCGGAGAATGGACTCATGAATTCCTCTATCATGGTCACTGCTGGGGCCAACCAGGTGAGAGAATGCCAAGGCAGAAATCTGTAGGCGTGCATGTGAGCAGTCCTAGCAGCAGCACAGGCAGCGGCGCAGGCAGCGGTGCATGACCCTGTGAGCAGCGGGTACGGTGTGGACGATGGCACTAAGGAGCTCAGAGCAGCGCTGGTGGAGAAAGTCAAGGCGGAGAATGGACTCATGAATTCCTCTATCATGGTCACTGCTGGGGCCAACCAGGTGAGAGAATGCCAAGGCAGAAATCTGTAGGCGTGCATGTGAGCAGTCCTAGCAGCAGCACAGGCAGCGGCGCAGGCAGCGGTGCATGACCCTGTGAGCAGCGGGTACGGTGTGGACGATGGCACTAAGGAGCTCAGAGCAGCGCTGGTGGAGAAAGTCAAGGCGGAGAATGGACTCATGAATTCCTCTATCATGGTCACTGCTGGGGCCAACCAGGTGAGAGAATGCCAAGGCAGAAATCTGTAGGCGTGCATGTGAGCAGTCCTAGCAGCAGCACAGGCAGCGGCGCAGGCAGCGGTGCATGACCCTGTGAGCAGCGGGTACGGTGTGGACGATGGCACTAAGGAGCTCAGAGCAGCGCTGGTGGAGAAAGTCAAGGCGGAGAATGGACTCATGAATTCCTCTATCATGGTCACTGCTGGGGCCAACCAGGTGAGAGAATGCCAAGGCAGAAATCTGTAGGCGTGCATGTGAGCAGTCCTAGCAGCAGCACAGGCAGCGGCGCAGGCAGCGGTGCATGACCCTGTGAGCAGCGGGTACGGTGTGGACGATGGCACTAAGGAGCTCAGAGCAGCGCTGGTGGAGAAAGTCAAGGCGGAGAATGGACTCATGAATTCCTCTATCATGGTCACTGCTGGGGCCAACCAGGTGAGAGAATGCCAAGGCAGAAATCTGTAGGCGTGCATGTGAGCAGTCCTAGCAGCAGCACAGGCAGCGGCGCAGGCAGCGGTGCATGACCCTGTGAGCAGCGGGTACGGGGTGGACGATGGCACTAAGGAGCTCAGAGCAGCGCTGGTGGAGAAAGTCAAGGCGGAGAATGGACTCATGAATTCCTCTATCATGGTCACTGCTGGGGCCAACCAGGTGAGAGAATGCCAAGGCAGAAATCTGTAGGCGTGCATGTGAGCAGTCCTAGCAGCAGCACAGGCAGCGGCGCAGGCAGCGGTGCATGACCCTGTGAGCAGCGGGTACGGGGTGGACGATGGCACTAAGGAGCTCAGAGCAGCGCTGGTGGAGAAAGTCAAGGCGGAGAATGGACTCATGAATTCCTCTATCATGGTCACTGCTGGGGCCAACCAGGTGAGAGAATGCCAAGGCAGAAATCTGTAGGCGTGCATGTGAGCAGTCCTAGCAGCAGCACAGGCAGCGGCGCAGGCAGCGGTGCATGACCCTGTGAGCAGCGGGTACGGGGTGGACGATGGCACTAAGGAGCTCAGAGCAGCGCTGGTGGAGAAAGTCAAGGCGGAGAATGGGCTGCTGGACTCGTCCATCATGGTCACTGCTGGTGCCAACCAGGTGAGGGAGGGCCAAGGCACGGAGCTGAAGCCATGCATGTGTGAGCAGCGCAGGCAGCAGTGGGGGACTCTATGAGCAGCGGGTACGGCGTGGATCATGGCGCCAAGGAGCTGCGGGCTGCGCTGGTGGAGAAAGTGAAGGCGGAGAATGGATTGTTGAATTCTTCTATCATGGTCACTGCTGGTGCCAATCAGGTGAGAAGGAGGGAACAGATGCAGTGCAGTGCATCAAGCCCTGTGTGATCCGGACCGGACGTTGCAGTGGTGCTCTTCAAGTCTACTTAACCTCTCTCACACATCCTAACCTCACTTAAACCCTGCCCGCCTTCCTTGATTCCCAATCACCAGGCGTTTGTGAACGTGGTGCTGACACTCTGTGACCCGGACGACGCAGTGGTGCTCTTCAAGCCCTTCTACTCCAACCCCTCTCATGTGACCTAACCTCCCTGAACTATGTATCCTCCCCCGAACCGGCAGGCATTTGTGAACGTGGTGCTGACCCTGTGTGATCCGGACGACGCAGTGGTGCTCTTCAAGCCCTTCTACTTCAACCACCAGATGGCGTTTCAGATGACCGGCGTCACTGACATTGTGTACGGCCCATGTGACACTGACACCCTGCACCCCAGCGCTGGTAAGTGAGAGATTCTTGAAACTTGAGTGGACCGGATGGCGTTTCAGATGACCGGCGTCACTGACATTGTATATGGGCCCTGTGGCATCCCAGCGCCGGTGAGTGATATGATTCTCGAGTCACAGCCCCTAGTGCTTTTGGGTCGACCCAAAAGCTGTCACTGGCATAGTGTATGGGCCATGTGACTCCGACACCCTGCATTCCAGCACTGGTGAGTGGGATGATTCTTGAGTCACAGCCCCTTCGGTCTCCTCCTCTCACGTATTTCCCACCCACCATGTCCTCACAAGATCCTTCCCACCCTCCTATTCCTCACCGGATCCTGAACTTTCCCCTTTTCTTCCTCACCGCTGGTATGCCTCTGCTCCTCGTTGCTCCCTCTCTACTCCCATGCTTCCACGTGGCATGCTCAGATTGGCTGGAGGAGGCGCTTAGTGGGAAGGAGGGCAGGAAGGTTCCCAAGGTGGTGGTGATCACCAATCCGAACAACCCCACCGGGACCTATGTCCCTGAGGACTTATTGCGGGTATGGATCGTTATTAACCCTGCATTATTCTGGGTTTTTTTTTATGCTCCCTGGTGCAAGCATGGTGGTGGTGATTACCAAACCCAACAACCCCACTGCGATCCGAGCACTTATTGCGGGTATGATGTTTTTAACCCAGCATTGTATTGGTATTTATTTGAAACGCCCCCTGGCGCGAGCAAGGTGGTGGCAATGATTAAGGTTCCCAACCTCCCATTCCTTTCCGACATCCCCATTACGCCATCCCCCTTCCCTCTCTGTGTCCTGCCTCCTCCTCTTCATCCTCCCACCTCACTATCTTTTCCCATTGTTTCCTTCTCCCCTCCCTACCCCTCCTTCCCTCGGCCCTCTCTTCCCTCCTTCCCTCATGTCCCGCCCTCCCTGTCTCCTTCACCCCTTTTTTTTCGGTTCTTCTGCCCTTCTTCCACCTTCCTGCATGGTTTCACACACCACCCTTCCCCTCTTATCCCCGCTACAGAGAATCGCCGCTATATGTGAGAAGGCTGGCTCTTGGCTGGTGCTCGATAACACCTACGAGTACGTTTGCTCCCTCCCTCAAATATATCACATGCATACATAACCCCTTTTCCCGTCGACCAAAATATGGCATATTCTCGCGATATATCACATTCCCCTTGAGTCACGCACGCATGATGTATGATACCTGCCAACTGTTACAATATTCACCGCTGTTGCCTTGCGCCATGCAACAGCGCCAGGCAGCACATGGCAGTTACCACCGTACATGCTCGAATAATGTGTTCAGGTACTTCATGTACGGTGGTAACCGCCATGTGTGCCTGGAGGGCGATTAGTTTGTGGGGTACCTGAAACAGAAACTGTGTTCATTTTTCTTCCTCTGTGTGGTCTTTAAACACTCTCTCCCAGGTACTTCATGTACGGTGGTAACCGCCATGTGTGCCTGGAGGGCAATCTGTTAACGGCATGAAACGAAAGCCAAGTTCGCTTCCCTCTTCCTGTGTGCCCTCCACGCACCTTAGCTACTTAATGTACGGTGGTAACTTCCATGTGTGCTTGGAGGGTTACCCTTAGGTGCCTGAAACCAATTGATGCCCTCTGCTCTGCTTTCCAAACACGTTCCCTCAGGTACTTCATGTATGATGGTAACCGCCATGTGTGCCTGGAGGCCCCTCACGTGCTCAACATCTTCTCCTTCTCCAAGGCCTACGGCATGATGGGATGGCGCGTTGGCTATGTGAGTGGATTTATCCCCATCCTTGTGCTTTGGCATTCGAACGTTATTCTCTTCCGTGCATCTCTTCAAACACCTCCACGCCGCCCCACCTAGATCACCTACCCCAACTCTTCTCTTCATCTCAGCCCCTCTCTCATTCAAGCCCGCGGCCCAAATTGCGGAGCGCGCGGGTCAAGTTTATAAAACTTGACGAAGTCAGTTTGCAAGCTTTGAAAAGTAGCACCATCTGCAATTTGGGACTTCTGAGGACTGAACCACCCACCAGGGAGGGAAACTAGGGCTGACTGGGCTTGGCGAAAAAAAAAAAAAAAAAAAAAATGAAAAAAAGAGAGAACGATTTTGGAAAAAAAAAAACGATTCTGAAATAATAATAATAATAATAATAATAATAATAATAATAATAATAATATTAAAAGAAAAAAAAAAACGATTTTTACGAAACTGGAAGGGAACTCTCATCAAAACCCAGAGGAGAAAAACCCCCTCTTGTCAACTTTTAGAAGCATGAACAATCTGGGCCGACTGCTTTAAAGCCCAAGACACCAACCCCATTTATGCCAATCTCATCCAATTTCCCGCTAATTTCCCCCCCCTCCCTCTACCCCTCCACCCAGATTGCGTATCCCAACTCCTCCCCACGGCTCGGCCCGTCTCTCATTAAAGCCCAGGACACCATTCCCATTTGCGCCAATCTGATTGGTCAGCAAGCAGCCCTCGCCGCCCTCCAATCCCCTTCCGCTGGAAAACCCTTTGTCGACCGCCTTATCCAAACCCTTTCGCTGAACCTGGAGCAGGCTCGGGACGCCCTAGCCGTGCTCACAGGTCCGGGAGTTGGTGGGCGGGTGTGGGGCGGTGAAGGGGCGATTTACCTTTGGGCAAAGCTTCCGGAAGGGTGTGAAGATGATGGCGCTGTGGTGAGGTGGCTGGTGAGTGAACATGGTGTGGTGGTTATTCCGGGGAGTGTGAGCGGTGCACCCGGGCATATTAGGGTGTCCTTTGCGAATTTACCCACGGAAAAGTACAAGGTTGCTGCAGGGCGGTTGAAGAAGGGGCTGCAAGAGCTGGTTGAGAAGATGAAGTTTCCTCTACAATAAGGTAATTCAATAATTCGAACAGAAGCTAAATATTTTGTCTATACTGCCTACGCTTTTAGACACGGCGGTAATTGCGGGAAGAGAAGAGTCCCAACCACGATATATCATCAAGTAGCAGACCCAAATTAATTCAGCAGATGAAATTAGCCTAATGTACTCGTCTGGTATCCCCACCAAAGCCTTGCCCCGCACCCGGGGGTGGAAAGCTTCAAAGTTAGTTAGCAGAAAATGCAGAAGTTAGATGCCACTCTGTATGGTATAGTCAATAAGTGCAAGGTTTTGGGAGCCACCAAACCAGACCATTGGTATGGTATGGTATGGTATGGTATGGTATCGCCCGGGTGCCATGCTCATCACCATCACCCTCCGCATTACTTACACAAGCACCACCACCACTGCTACCTTCCGCTGGTTCCGCTGTTGGATCCGCTGTTCCCATCAATAATTCGCTGCTTTACATCCCATCCATCACTTTCAATGCCTGCTGCTGCTGCTGCTATTGATGATGGGGGTTTCGAGCTGTTGGAACAAAATCCCCTTGATGCCGTGCAACATTAACTGTAGACGACACTGTAGATGCTACACCAACCACCGTCGACCTTATCTTTTTTAAAGGAGCCGCAATAGCCGCGGGTTTCAGGTTCGGCAAGTCCAGCTTCGGCCGAGGCGCCCCAGAAACGCCGAAGCTGACAGCCTTGCCCCTGACGCTCTCCAAGCCACTGAAACTTGACATACCTCTTACCGAGCCTCCTTCTGAGCCTACAGAGCCAGAACTATCAGCAGCATTCAAGTAAATGTTCTCAAAGCTGGGAGTTGATCCTTTGAACCCACCTTCCCTCCCGCTCCCCCCTCGCATGTTCTTAAGCAGAGATTTCAGCTTCGCAGCACCAATAGAACCGCCAGAAATCTCCTTCTCTCGTGACGAGCCCTCTCCCACCTTCCCTCCCGAACCTCCTAAACCTCCCGAACCTCCGGAATTTCCTGATCCGCCCCCACCACCCCCCATGGCCATCTGCTGCAGCTGCTTCGACTGAATCTTAGCCAGATTCTCATTCCACCGCCAAATATCCCCGTCAATCCCTTTCGACCACTCCGGAAGCTCCCGTTTCTCAATGAAATGAGCGATCACACGGAGAATGCGAGGATCTCGAAAGTACGCGCCGTGGTTCAGGTCAAAACGCCCGGTGAGCTCGCCCATCCGCTCCTCGATCATGACGCACAGCTGCTGCAGCTGCCGCTCAAACTCGCGCTCGCTGAGCCGCGGGTTGCGGCCGATTTTGTTCATTTGGGACTTGAGACGCTGGAAGGTTTGTGATTGCTCTGCCATCACTGCCAGCTCCTGATCGTCCCACAGAAACTCGTACACCAGCTTCTCTCTTCCGCTCTCAGCTGGTGCTTCTGGCACAGAGATGGCTGCTGCACTAGCAGTAGCTGCTGCGGAAGCGGCTGCTGATGCGGAAGCGTCGTCATGCACCTTCCCAGAAGCTTCATCTGCTGTCGAACGGGCTGGGTCGCGAGCGCGAGTTGTTGAAAATCCTCCGGGAACAGACAATGTGGGGTGCGCCGCTGCGTGGGACGAGAAGGCGGGAGGCGGTAGAGGCAGCTTCATAACAGCAGCAGCACCACGGCCACCCCCGCCGCCGCTACCAGCAGCAGTGCTATTCGTGTCTGAAGGCGAGTTTAAGGCAGCCAGAAATTCAGCCGCTCGCTCCAGGCTCTGCTCCTCCTCCTCCGGTCGGTCCAAGCTCACATTCCTCACCAGCTTTTGCTGCTTCTGCTGCTTCTGCTGGTTTTGCTGATTCTGCTGCTTCTGCGGGCTTTTTTCCCCCCTTCCCTCCCACTCTTCCTCAGGCGCATCAAACCACTCTTCCTCTCCACCGCTCCCCCGCCTCTGCTCCACCCGTTCTGCAACTCCTCCCATTACCACACGCCCCTCCGCCACTCTCCCCGCTCCTCCCCTCCCTGCATCTACCCCGACTTGCTCAGACAACCCTGCTGCAGTCTCCCCTCCCTGCTCCCTCTGATAGCCCCTTGCTACTGCTCCTACCCCCACCCTCTCATGCACCCCTACAGCTGCTTCTGCCTGTGGTTCCCTCTCAGGTGACCCGAGACTCACCCCCCTTTCATTTGCTTCTACTGCTGCCTCTGCCACTGCAGCCAGCGTTGTCAGCCTCCCGCCCCTGACCCCCTTCCTGCTCCTTGGCCTCCCGAACGCGCCCTGACTCTGCTGCGTGCCGCGGGGAGAGGCTGAAAAATCAACGGGAGAACCAGCAGAAGCAGCAGCAGCTGCTGGCGATGCTGCTGCTCCTGTTGGTGTAGTGGCATGTGGGGAGTGCAGGTGTGAGGGCTGGTGGGGCGACTGCAGGACGGGTTCCAGCCACTCGGGTTGCTCCACGGTGTCATCCTCATAGCCTGGCATCAACTCTCCCTTGAGTGACTTGGTCTTCGCCTCTGCCAGCAGTTTCTGGGATGAGACAGGGAGGTTGCGCAGTTTCATAGGAAATTAAGTATGGAAACGAGGGAAGAGAGCAGAGATTGCTGAAATATTATAATCTGAACATGGGTTTGCGAAAGAAAGTGCGTTCTTGTCAAACAACCCCTTCACTGAGAGCGACCTAAACCACTGTGCTCAATTGTGCACACCAAGATTCGAACCCAGGACCTTTGGCTCCGAACCATACCTGAACGTTCCAGTGGTCGACTTGCTGAGTGGCTAAGTCCAAATCCAAGTGCTCGTCCACGTAGATATACGCGTAGTTCAGATCCCCTGGGGACAGTCCGAAGCTGACCGTCACAATCATCTTCTGAAGTGTTCCCGTGACAATGGGCGCGATGATGTGTGAGCAAACGGACATGATGGCAGCTGGGAGGAAGAAGAGAGTGTCCCACACGAGGATGATGGCGCAGTGGAAGAAAAAGGCCCACCAGTCCACCTGGCGCGCGTAACGGGTTGGGGGCTTGGGGAAGGGCGCCCAGGGGGTCTGCTTCAGGAGTTTTGTCAGGTGGGGGAAGACGTAGGCTCGCGTGATTGGCTCCATGGATAGCGCTAGACTGGCCTGTTGGGTTGAGAAGGAAAAAAATACGCACACACGCACACGCGTGCACCAACATATACACGTACGCACGCACACACACACGCACACTCACTCACACACACGCATGTACACGCACTCACATACGCACGCGCGCGCGCGCACACACGCACATACAGGAAAGGGGATTATGAATGGAAGGGACAAGGGGATGGGGTGGCGGAGGGAGGGATGGGGCCGGTTGGTGGGGTGATGGAGGGGGAAGGGGGAGGGGTGGGGAGATCTTGGAACAGGTTGGCTGAGAGAAAGGAACGAAGGATGACGGTGTGTTGTACAGAGGACTGGAGGTTTGAAGCAAGGAAAATAGTGGGGACGGAAGGGAAAGGTGAGTTGGTGGAGAGGGGAGGGTGGATTGATTATTGTGCAAGGACAAGGGTTGACTGCAGTGCAAGGCGGAGGGTGGATTGAGATGTGAGGAGGTGTGAGGAGGAGCGAGGAGGAGTGAGGAGGAGTGAGGAGGAGAGCCCTCACCTCGTCGAGCTTGCCGGCATGAATGACAAGAGCAGACATTGCCGGCGACCAGTCAAAGGTTGGCTTGTGGTAGAGATTGCCACTGTAGAACACTGTGGTGCGCAGAACCTGTAACAAACAGGTAAAAAAAAAAAAAAAAAAAAAAAAAAAAAGCGCAACAAACTATCAAAGTGTTAATCACCCAATGTAGTTGTATGCATGTACACTTATTTCGTTGTAACAATGTTGTTGCATACTTGCAACCAGACTTCACCTACACCCTCACTTACAGAGACTTGGCAGGCTTCACGTTGATGAGGAGTAACAGAGTACCAGTGGCGATGAAGAGTGCATTTCAAGTCACCTTGTTGTTACAATGTCACATGGAATTTGAGCCGCCTACAAATTCAATTTGTGTACTCACATCCATGACTTGCTTCACATTGATGAGAAGCATGATTCCAGTGGCGATGATGAAAGGAGGGGCGCTCTGCCCATAGAAGCTGGGTAGAATTGGAGGGGTTGGGACAAAGAACGGCACAAGGGTGCATTTTGAAGCGCTTCAAAATAAACCATATGATTCCAGTAGCGATAAAGACAGGAGGAGAACTCTGTCCATAGAAGCTAGAATATGATTTGAGCGGTTGGGACGGGACAAATGGAAGGAGAGGCAAGGGGAAATACGGGAGGACGAGCAATGTAAACCCACAATCCCAGAACACTAACTGACAGCCCCATGCGATCCCAGCTAGCAGCACACACACCAGCAGCACGCCACCCAACCACTCACGACCACCGCAAGCAGCACTGCACTGCACCGCACCACACTCAACCACTCACTCTTGCGGCCGGCCGGCGATCAGCAGCACGATGATTTGCCAGATGGACGTGCAGACGAGAATGAAGACATAGAGCAGCACCACTGAGAGCCCCATACCATCCTAGCCAGCACAAACAGCAGCACCCCACCCAGCCACTCACAACCACCGCAAGCAGCGCTGAACCGCACTCAACCACTCACTCTTGGGGCCGGCCGGCGATGAGCAGCACGATGATTTGCCAGATGGACGTGTAGACGAGAATGAAGACATACAGCAGCACCACATTGAGCACCGTAGACACGAGCAGCCAGAGAAACCCATTGGTCTGCCACTTCTTGATGTAGAATGGCGTGCCGAGGAAGACGAGGGCGCCGAGGGCGTTGGTGATGGGCGAGGTGGCGTGGCGGAACGCCAGGAAGCGCCGCTGCCGCACTGCTGGGAGCCGCAGCAGCGAGTCCAGCCACTGCTGGTACGCCCACGGGTAGCTCTCCTTCACCCCCGTTGTCTTCTGCCCGTTGAAACTGTATGGGTTAGTGGCGGAAGGATTGGGGCGCGGGGGAGGGAAGCAAGAAGGGTTAGGAAATGCGTGGTGATCGACTCAAAAGTGACTTTTGCGTCGACTCAAAAGTCACCGCGCGGGGGAGAGAGGCAAGAAGGGTTAGGAAATGCATGGTGATCGACTCAAAAGTGGCTCTACTTCCTGCCGTGTGTGTTTTTTGAGAATTCTCAAAAAACACGAGGGTTAAGAAATGACTTTTGAGGCGCCTCAAGAAGGGTTAGGGAATGTGTGGTGATCGACTCAAAAGTGGCTCTACATCATGCCGCTCGCCCTCTGCCTGTGTAAAATGAGAGCGAGGAAGGGACCGGGGGAGAAAAAGAGAGGGGGTATTCGCATGATTACTCGCACCTATTTGCGTTACTCCATACACCACCCCCACCCACACCCACCCACACAAACACACACACGCACACACACAAACACACACTCCCTCTCTCTCTCTCTCTCTCTCTCTCTCTCTCTCTCTCTCTCTCTCTCTCTCTCTCTCTCTCTCTCTCTCTCTATCAACCCTTCGATTCCTTTGCCCCATCAATCCAACCCACCCGCTAGCCCTTATCAACTCCTCCCTCACCCACCAGCGTGACAAAACTCATCCCCTCGGAACGCAACTCACCCTTGGGAACACAACTCACCCGCGGAAGACGACGAGGAAGGGGAAGAAGCGCCACCACGACCCGCGCATGTCGATGCGCCGCCACCTCTTGATCAGCTCATAGCTCCGCCTGTGCGCCGCCCAAAACTGCCTCGCCACCGCCGGGTGCCACTCGTTCTTCGGCCGCCGCCCCAACTTCGCCATGTACTGTTGGGGGAGGGCGGGGGGAGGGAAGAACCGGGGAGAGGGAGGGGGGGGGGAAGAGGAAAGGGGGGGGCAGGTGGGGAAGGTAGATCGGACGCCCCCCAGGTTTGCCATGGGAAAAGCAGAGGGGAGAAGGGGGGAGCAGGAGGAGGCAGGGAGGGGCACGAGGAGCATGGAGAAAAGCGGGAAAGGATGGACCAGCTTCCACGCTGCTGTTTGGATGAAAGCAGGAGGACAGAGGGGGGAAGAGCAAGGGGAAAAGGGGTAAGAAAGGACAGTGTGGTGGGGTGGGAGGACAGTGTGGTGGGGTGGGAGGACAGTGTGGTGGGGTGGGAGGACAGTGTGGTGGGGTGGGAGGACAGTGTGGTGGGGTGGGAGGACAGTGTGGTGGGGTGGGAGGACAGTGTGGTGGGGTGGAGATGTAATGTTGTGTATAAAGTCATGCTTTCGGGTTGGGACCTCACTTATGGAGTCCATGTGCAAAGAAATGCACTGAACTGAAGTAGTTAAGCATTTCACGTACCAGTTCGATCGTCTTGAGCATGACATTGCCGCCGTGAGAATGCGCCACCAGGTGGATTCGAGCTGCCGGATCGTTCTGAGCGATTTGGTCAATCAGATTGTGCAGCTGAGGGAGGGGGTGGGGCAGGGAAGGAAACATATTGAACAAAATGCCGAACATAAGGAATAAAACAAAACAACCCCCTTCCTTCCCCTCCAGAAAAAAGAAAAGAACAACAATACGGCAACTACACAGATGAAAAGGAAAAAGCAACCTGGCAGGCCGCCGACGTAAGTGTCTCGTGGGAGGAAATTGTTTTCTAAAGAAATCCAAGAAGCAATATTTCCGGAAAGTTTTGCAAGGGAAAGATACTGTCCGCCAACACAATAGTAGAAGTTTGCTTTTCAAAAGACTCCTATTACCCCTTGAAGAACAAAGACTCAAAGCAAGCAGTTTCCTGTTGGTCTCCTTCCCCAACTGCCCGCGAACCACACCTCTCTCGCCTGACCTAAAACTCTTCCCCCTTTTTTTCCCGCCACCCCTCCCCAGAAAAATATTCGCCATGCCTGCAGCTTTCCGCGTGCGAGATTACGCGCAAAAATATGGGCGCGGGACCTTGCGGGAACGGGGCGACTCTAGGGAAGAAAAAAAAAAAAAAAAGGTAAGAATCTTCAGCAAAACATGCGGTCAAATTAGGGTTGCGACTACTCTACCGAGGCAGCGAGTGGGGCGTAAGAGTGACAATTTTTCCGCACATTTACACACGGCTCGAATTAGGTCATTATCTTTTGCCCGGTAATTCTCGCACACTTGTCCCACGCGTTACCACACCCGACGCGGCGATCGTTTCTCCAACACAACCTCACCGCAATCTTCGGCCATAATCCCAGAGAAAGCTTTGAATCTTCGGATTATTTTCCTCGACTTTCTCGCGACTCTCTGCCGACTCTGTTTGCCGACTCTCGGCGACACGATCTTCGCAGATCTTGTCGCAGCGACCCCTCCAACACATCTCACCTCCTTTCCCCTCCTTCGCCGGCTCGCCTTCCTTCTCGTTCCCCCCACTCACCTTCATAGCGGCGGTGACGCGGCCCAGGTGCGTGTTGGTGCCGTCCCAGTGGAACGGGTACGGGATTCCCGGGAGCGCGGAGCACGGCAGGTCGCGCCAGATGGCATCCTCCCCGATGGGTCCCAGCGCAAACAGCCGGCTGAGCTTCCGGCAGAAGTTCTGTTCGCCGGGCGCTGGCGGTTGGTACCACGTCGGCGCGCCGTCCGGCGGCGGCGCGTCGAACGTCCCGTGGATCACGATCACATAGTGGTTCTCGCTCTTCGCGTCGAAGTCGGCGGTGCGCACGCGGATCGCCGCTTCGATATCCTTGCCGTCCTCCCCGCCGTCTCCTCCTCGTCCGCTCCGGCTACCACTACTTCCCGAAAGCGATTTCGGAAGCTTAGGCCAGGACGCGCCTCGGTCTCCGTTTTCGTCGCCGTCGTGATCAGCGGCCCCGCCATTGCCTTTGCTGTACGAGACGCAAGGTATGCACGAAATGTGCGCGCTTGGAGCTCCTTGCCACAGACCCTTTCGTTCCAGTTGGTCGTCTGTTCCCGTCGCGTCATCTGTCTGTTTGTTGACTAGCGCCCGCCAAAGACCACGCCGCCGTCGACGGCTAGTCGAGAGATCAGCCGAGCCGCCGTCGACGGCGGCTCCGCTTCCGCCTGTAGTTTCGTCGAACGCCGACGTGGTTAAGTCGTCATTTTCGGCGTGTGACTCGCCTGCGACGTCTCCAGCGACGTCGCGCATTGGTTCGGCGCCGTAAGAAGCTGTTTGTCTCGCAGCGCCGTTTCTTGACTCAACCACTATCGACACGCGCTCGTCCTCCATTTCCCTAAAAACGGTTTGTTTTATCATTCCAGAAGCTTCCGCCGTTAGAGACTTCTTTTCCCGAATGATGTCACCATTCTAACAAATCCAGTCTGTGCATGACGCGTTGGAAGAAAATAGCTTGGGAAAAAATGCAGCCACTCCGATTATGAACGTCGCTTTAGAACTATGAACGGCAGTTTAGAACGGCGATTATGAGCGCAATGTTCTATGGTTGCTTCTAGACTGGCAGAGGAAGAGTGGTGGGAGCGTGGGGTGGAGTGGACAATCTTTTCCCGCGTGGTGTGTACTGGTGCAATGTAGGTACAGTAATCACAGTCTACACCTAGCCCGCGCCAAATTCACTAGGGCCATTTTCAACCCCCTGTGTAATTATTTCTGATTTACCCGATATTAAAGAGCTGTTTCGAATGCTTTCGTTTTAAAGAGGGTACGTTTCAGACATCTCTGACGAGTTAGAGGGGATGGAAAACGGGTCACAATAAACTATGGTCGAGTCGCCGTGGTAAGAGTGCGGTTTTTTTTTTATATCTCGACACTTGGCTGAGTGGTTTGTAGCCTTCAAACTCTGGGAGTTTACTGGTAAAAGCCAAAATCGGGTTCAGGGTGCTTGCTGAAACAAGTTGCAGGGCGTGATAATAGCGCGGGCTAGGTGTACCCGCCTTGGTGGGGCTTGTGTTGTTTTCGCTTACGGCCTGTGGCCTTGCCATCCATCCGCACTCAGGTTTGCCTTACGTGGTTTCCAAACGGTTTGACTGTTTTCAAAACGATCTAGTGCTATATTCATGCTGTTATTGCCCGCACAGAAATCTGTCACTGTAGTTCAGGTGACTTCTTTCACAACGATAAACTCTTCGACCTTGACGCGATGAACGTGGCAATCAGTTGACTTGCTGGCAAGTATTCCCTACCATCAGGGAAGCGATCTGTTCGCTTCCTCCTCGGCTTGGCTGGTGAGGGGAATGTGGACTCCCACCGTCTTCCACACCAGCGAATTGAGTGCGGGTGGCCGAAGCTGTTCAAATTGCAAAAGAATCGACTCTTGAAATATGGCGGGTTTCTCTCGGGTGGAAGCGGAAAACTATGGTTTCTCTGGAAGCGCAATCCCACTTTCTCGGGGTAATCGTTTGAAGAGCCTGAGAGAAGCGCAGGAGCCTGACAACGGGGCAGCATCACAGTAGCGTTGACATTTGCTGTTGACATTTGCTCTTCCTCAGGTTCTGATCTGATGCCTGCATGCCCAACAACACACCATCTCGAAGGATCACTGCTGAGTGAGTGGGCGGTGGGTGAAACGCATCTGTCAGTGGGTGGCGGTGGGAGAATGAATTGAGTGCCTAGGGTTTTTCCTTTCTTTCAAACCACCACAGCAGAACCCCTCGTTCCCAGCATTACACACTAGTGAGATTGTCTCTCAGAAAGGTGGGGCAGTCCACTGTTCAGATACAGCCGGTATTCGTTTCAGAGGCCTCACAGAATATTGTCGATAAATAGCATGCACTATCACTGAACAATATACATACACAAATCTCTCAAACGGCATATACCGAATGCGACAGTCCTGAGATATCTTGAGCTCAAGAATTTCCTCTTTGATGTAGTCAATGAACTAGACCATCCAGGAATATTACAAAGTTTTCCCAATCGGAGCAATTCTGGTCTTTAAATTGTCTCATAACGACTCTAATATTAATGCCATGTAAACGAGCCTGATGAGTATTTACATATAGATTGCATAACCTTATGTCACGCAAAAGAATCGCAAACATACATGAACATTGCTTCGATCCGATACGTTTATTTCAATGGGTAACCATCTGCAGGCAAACTCAGCTGCGCCATTCTAATGCCCCCCTACCACCTTTCGAAGGGAAAATCAAGCTGGTCGATCTGCCTCCCGAGACAAAGGCAGACAGCCTCGCCTCAGGAATGGAAATCCCATGTAGCATCCACTACAACAATCACTGCTGCATTGTACAGGCAAATATTGAGCACTCACAACCTAACATCACCCACAGCCCAACTCCAACTCAATAGCCAAGCTTCGCTCACTTTGTAACAACCTAACCTCAAATCCAACCCCATTGTGAGTGAGTAGCAATATAGGATGAATCAAACGCTACCCAATCCCACTGCACCTGTAACCACCACACCTCTAACCCAGGCAGAACGAGGTGGTTCTGTCAACGGTGGAAGTGGTGCTTCTGCTGCTCCAATCTGCTGCAATCACTGCTGCTGCTACTGCTGAACACCTGCTGAGCTGACTCTGCTGGCACTACAGGACTTGCGACAACTGATAAATATTTGGACATACCACAGAGAAAGTTGCTGCTGAAACACGATCTGATCGGCTCTGAGCTACTGACTGCTGGCGAGCAGCCGCTAGGAAGAAGGTATGGGAGCAAGAGTTTGAGTGATGTGTGAGAGGCTAAGGAGCAGGCAAGCGATCATGCTTGGCTAGTGACGATCCAATGAAAGCTGGTGCTCAGTATAGTCTGAAAAATAGTACGTGCATTGAAACAAAGCTAGTTTGTGAGGAGGAACTGCGTGCGGCTTGTGTGCGCAGAGGTGTAGAGGCAAGCGGTGAGGAGGAACAGAGGCGATTGGTGAGGAGGAGGGAGGCTAGTATGTGAGGAGGGGGGCTAGTGTGTGGGAAGGCGGGGGCTAATGAGTGAGGAGGAACTGGAAAGTGCTGTTGTCTCGAATGGCTGGTGGCAGCTGCAGCGACCGCAGGTCAATTTCGTGAGTGCTCTTTGATATGTCCTCCACAGAGAATGGGATGCTGGGGTGGGGAGATGAGGGAGAAAGGGAGGGAAATGAAAGGGAGACGTCAGGAATTGGGCGTAAATCTCATGGGTGCTCTTTGATATGTCCTCCACGGAGAATGGGATGCTGGAGTGAGTAAGGAGTTGGAGCAGGGAAGAAGGGTGGGGCAACAAAAAAAGACATATGGGAGGGAAGGCAGGTGAATCTCGTGGGTGCCCTTTGATATGGCCTTCACGGAGAATGGGATGCTGGAGTGAAGAGGGAGAAAGGGGGGGGGAGGAAAGAGAAGGAGGTAAAATTACAAGGGAGACACGTGGGAGAGATGGTGTTTTTGAGACGTCTCAAAAACACCCTCGCTACACAAGGGAGACGCGTGGGAGAGAAAGAAGGCTAACCTAGTGTGTGCTCTTTGATATGTCCTCCACCAACAATGGAATGCTGGAGTGGGCGGGGATGAAAATGCTGGATGGAACCTGAAATCCTTCTCTCATCCTTGCACCCACCTGGAACCATCCCGACCTCTTCGCACCCACATGGGACCATTCCCCACCCTCCTCGCACCCACCTGGAATCCTTCTCTTTTCTAAGCAACCACATGGAATCAACCCCCTATCTTCCCACCTACCTGGAATCATCGTTGAGCAGGACCAAAATGACCAGTATCGGTGCCATACTTGTCATCCCATTCTACTACATGAGAAGGCATTTTCCCCTTACTGCACCCACCTGGAATCGTCGTCCAGCAGGAGCGAGTTGCTGACAGCAGCACTGTTCTCGATACAATTGTTCCGAGGTGCATCAAGCATTCTCCCTCTCTTCTGACCCACCTGGAGTCATCGTCCAGCAGGAACGAGTTGCTGACAGACGCGCTGTTCTCGTCGCTCATGCGCCGCCGCATCTCGGAAATGACTTCAGAGGAGACGGTGTGAGTGCCGTACTTGTCGTCCCAGTACATGGTGCTGATGCGGTACAGCTGCTGTATGCTCAGCGCCGGGCAGAGGTCTGATGTGATCTCCTGCATGCTCTTCTTGGGCTTCTGGTGAATCACCTGTTGGAACCGGGAGAAGGGGGAAAGTGGGGAAGGAAGGGGGAGGGGAAAGAGGGGAGAAGGAGGCAGAGAGGGGGGTAAGAGAAGAGCGGAAGAGAGGGACACGGTGTGAGTGCTGTACTGGTCATACTTTGTGGTACAGCTGCAGAATGCTCAGTGGATGGCGGTCATACTTGAGCCTTTTCCATGCGGTGCCAGTGTGTACTCGTTCGTGCATTGCCTTGTGCAGCCTAAACAAAGTCGTCCAGCAATCTAAATTAACAAACGGTACCTGGTACCTACCAGGAAGCCAACAGCCTGGCGGATATGCTTGACCTCATCCCACTCGTGAGTGGCCTCAACTTAGGCAACTCAAAACGCGTCTGCAAGAGTGCATACCAGGAAGCCAACAGGTTGGCGGATATTTTTGAGCTCCTCCCACGCTTTTCCCGTGTACTTGTGCGTTGACAATTTTTTAGGCGCCTCAAAAGTGCAGTCAGTGATCCAACACCCCGTAATTCTTGAGCCGATTCAAACATTAGCCAGAGGTGCAAATCGCCCATTCACAAGAGGAACCTACCAGGAAGCTGACAGCCTGGCGGATATACTTGAGCTCCTCCCACGCATTGCCCATGTACTCATGCGTTGCCTCGTGCAGCCAGTGGTCCAACTTTTGAGGCGCCTCAATACTCATGGGTTGCCTCGTGCAGCCAGTGGTCCAACTTTTGAGGCGCCTCAATACTCATGCGTTGCCTCGTGCAGCCAGTGGTCCAACTTTTGAGGCGCCTCAATACTCATGGGTTGCCTCGTGCAGCCAGTGGTCCAACTCGCCTAGACCTGCCTAGGATGACATTGAGGTCAAATCAAAACGCGTCTCAAAGGGAACCTACCAGGAAGCCGACAGCCTGGCGGATATATTTGAGCTCCTCCCACGCGTTACCCGTGTACTCGTGGGTTGCCTCGTGCAGCCAGTGGTCCAACTCGCCCAGCCCCGCCTTCACGTACTCTCCGTTGCTGAAGGAGCAGCACTCACGACGCAGCAGCAGACTGGGGGTGTTGGGCGGGGAATGAGGGGATGGGTGAGGAGGGGGGAATGAGGCAGAGAAGGAAGAGGTGATCAGAGGCAGCCTGCAGCCAGTGGTCCTGCTCGCCCAGCCCCGCCTTCACGTACTCGCTGTTGCTGAAGGAGCAGCACTCACGCCGCAGCAGCAGACTGGTGAGAGTGTGAGGGAAGAGTGGGAGGAGATGGTTGAGAGAGAAGAGAACGTGTTAGCCAGTGGTCCAACTCGCCCAGGCCACATACTCGCCGTTGCTGAAGGAGCAGCACTCGCGACGCAGCAACAGACTGGTGGAGGCGTGAGAGGAAGGATGGGGGCGTGTGTGGGGATTGGGGGCAGGGTAGAGGGGGTGGGGAAGAAAAAGATTTTTGAGTCAACTCAAATAGGGTGGGGGGTGTGTGTGGGGATTGTGAGAAGGGTAGAGGGGGTGGAGAAGGAGAAGATCTGGGTGACTTTTGAGAATTATCAAAAGTCACACAAATATGACGAGTTTGCACACGAGAGGAGAGGATCGAGTTGCCCACAACAACGTGGTATGTGCTGCTGTTGCTACTGCTGCTGCCGCTGCCGCCGTTGCTGCTTTGCCCCCCAGCCCCTCTCAACCGAACCACAACTGCCCCCACCCAACCCCTACCTGTTGAATAGCTGAACGTTGATAAAGGAGAAGATCTGCGTGACCAACTTCCGCACAAGGAAAGAGGGCACGTGGGAGGCTTTGAGCGTTGTAAGCAGCGTGGTGAGCGTGGCGATGATGCTGCCCCAGTGTGAGCTCAGCGCGTGTGTGGCTGTGGCTACTGGAGCCCCCCTGTGGGATGAGTGCCGCCCGTACGCCGCCCGAGAGATGCGCGGTGCCTGATGGGGTGAGTTTGTGGGGGGTGGGACGGGGGTTGGGGTGTGCAGGGGTTTGGTGTGGGGGTGAGACACATGCCCCACGCTCTCTCGGCCTATGCACACAGTCACACAATTCCCACACAAACCAAGTCGGTTCTGAGAATTCTCAGAAACGACACACACAGTCACACACTCCCCACATAATCCCCCATGCGCACCTGAATGCACTGTGCGAGGGTGGGCGAGATCCCCTTCTTGAGTTTGTCTCTGATCATCCCGTAGATCTTCTCCACATACGCCGTCGTCAACTGCTGCTTGAACAGCAGCGCCCCCACGCCCACACACACCCGTAGCCCCCCCATTCTCCCCACACACACATTAACCATCCCCAGCCACACCTGAATGCACTGTGCGAGGGTGGGCGAGATCTCCTTCTTGAGGTTGTCTCGAGTCATCCCGTAAATCTTCTCCTCATATACGGTCAGTCGCTGCTTGAACAGCAGCAGAGCCACACACACCGCCAACCCTTCATGCACACCCACACCCCGCACACACACCCCCAACCTCACCTGAATGCACTGAGCGAGGGTGGGCGAAATCTCCTTCTTGAGGTTATCTCGAATCATCCCATAAATCTTCTCCACATAAGCCGTCAGCTGCTGCTTGAACAGCAGCGCCGGGTACTTGGCCTCCACCTGAGGGATGTGCTCCAGGCCCCCGCTCGCCCCCACCACCCCCGTGGGTGTCGTGGGGGAACCTCGGAAGCTCTGTTGTGAGAGGGAGGGAGGGAGGGAGGGAGGGAACGAACAGCGATTGAGGGGAGGAGAGAGAGGGGAAGGGGGAATTGGCAGGGCAAAACAACAGCACCGGGAACTTGGCCTCCACCTGAGGGATGTGCTCCAGGCCCCCGCTCGCCCCCACCACCCCTGTGGGCGTCATGGGCGATCCACGAAAGCTCTGCAAGGAAGGAATGGGCGCGCAGGGTGGCAGGGAACAAGAAAGAGCGGTTGGATGAGGGAAAGAGGGGGAGCCGGGTACTTGGCCTCCACCTGAGGGATGTGCTCCAGACCCCCGCTCGCCCCCACCACCCCTGTGGGTGTCGTGGGGGACCCTCGGAAACTCTGTATGGGAGACATGGGGAAGGGGAGGGGAAGGGGAAAGCCAAGAAAAGAAGGTGGGTATGAGCGGGATACTTGACCTCCACCTGGGAATGTGCTTCACTCCCCCGCCAACTCTTGAACCCAATGCTCTGAGCCATCCCCAACCCCATAGCACACCTGAAGCCTTCTCGTCTCTGCTACCCAAACGTCTCGTACCTGGGTCATGCGTCCAAATAGAGTGGTTTGCTGCACCCCGCCTCTCCTCCTCTGAGCCTGCGACCTGCCAACCCTCACACCCTGTGCACCCCCTGAGCCTTCCCAAACCCCACACCGTACCTGTAGCCCCAAGCACCCCTTTACCTGGGTCATGCGGCCGAACAGGGTGGTCTGCTGCACCCCGCCTCGCCTCCTCTGAGCCTGCGACCCCGGCGCCCCTCCGCTCGCCTTGAGAGTGCGCTGCAGCAGGAACAGCAGGCAGCTGGTGTTCGCCAGCCAGTAGGCCAGCCGCTCGCTGCTCTGCTGGTTCTCAATCCACCCCATTTCTAAGCCATATGCCAACCCTCACACCCCGTGCCCCTGAGCCATCCAAACCTTCTACCTTCAGCTACCCAACCACACCATACCTGGGTCATGCGTCCAAATAGGGTGGTCTGCTGCACCCCGCCTCGCCTCCTCTGAGCCTGCGACCCCGGCGCCCCTCCGCTCGCCTTGAGAGTGCGCTGCAGCAGGAACAGCAGGCAGCTGGTGTTCGCCAGCCAATAAGCCAGCTTCTCGTTGCTCTGCTGGTTCTCTATGGCGCCGCCGATGGTCTGGATGATGCGGTCAAAGACGCTCGTGCGCTCCGCCTCAAACGACCGCCAGTGCAGCAGCGCCTTGTACGTCACACACGCCACCACCGGCTGGCTTCCGTCAAACCCGAGTTCGCTCACTATCACCTTTAATAGAGCCTCCTGGTCTTGCTGTTGGGTTGGGGATGGGGAAGGGGGAGGCAGAAGGGAGGGGGCAGGGGGAGGGAAAGGGCAGGGGGAGGGGAGGGGCAGGGAGAGGGGAGCGGAAGGACAGGGTTACGGGGAGGGAGAACAGGGGGAGGAACGGACGGGGTAGGCAGGCCAGTAGTAGAGCACGCTCGTGCGCTCCGCCTCAAACGACCGCCAGTGCAGCAGCGCCTTGTACGTCGCACACGCCACCACCGGCTGGCTGCCGTCAAACCCGAGCTCGCTCACTATCACCTTTAAGAGAGCCTCCTGGTCTTGCTGTTGGGGTGGGGATGAGAAGGGGGATATAGAGAACGGGGTTACAGGGAGGTCAGCAGTAGCTGCGGTCGAACCCAAGATCGCTCACTATCACCTTCAGCAGCGCCTCCTGGTCTTGCTGTTGCGGTTTGAGGATGGGGAGCGGGAGGAATGGATACCATTTTCTGCAGTTGTTCAAATGCTTCAGCTGCTTGCTCTCCACTTCACGAGGCATAGCAGACATGCAGTGCAGGGACAGAACATGGGGGACGCCACCATCAGAGGTACCTCCTCACCTCATGCTAAACGTGTTTCGAGACGTCTCAAAACCCACTTCACGAGGCATAGCAGACAGACATGCAGGGACAGAATATGGAGGCACGTGAAGCGAGGGTATTTTTGAGACGTCTCAAAAATACCCTCTCTCCACTTCACGAGGCATAGCAGACATGCAGGGACAGAATATGGGGGAAGCCACCATGCTTCTGAGGTACTTCCTCTCCTCATGCTAAACCCTAGATTATGATTCTCCTGCCCCCTTTATAATAACGCCTCTTGTCCACTCACTGTCTGCCGATGATTAAGATGACTTTTGAGGCGCCTCATAAGATGACATTACTTTTGAGAATTCTCAGAAGCAACATCACCGTCTGCAAATCAATAAGATGACTTTTGAGGCTTCACCACAGGCAGCATATGCACCCCATAACATGCTTCACCACTTTGCTCTCCACCTCACTGGGCGTGGCAGGGGTGCCCTGAGGGGACTCTGGTGGATGGAACATCCAAGGGGCTCCATACTAAACCCTACAGTACGACTCTCGTGGCCTCATAAACTATGGTTCTCGTGCACTCACCGTGTGCCGGTCGTTCAGGTGCTTCAGCCGCTTGCTCTCCACCTCACTGGGCGTGGCAGGGGTGCCCTGAGGGGACTCTGGCGGGTGCAGCATCTGACAGACTGACACGCATTCCCAGACCCTTCATATCTCCTGTACTGCAGAAGATGTGTGTCTCTTAAGCACTCACCGTCTGTCTGTCGTTCAGATGCTTCAGCCGTTTGCTCTCCACCTCACTAGGCGTGGCAGGGGTGCCCTGAGGGGACTCTGGCGGGTGCAGCATCTGGGAGCGCGGGGTGGTGGGCGACGGCAGGCCGCCCTCCAGCTGCTGACGTGTGTACAGCGAGGCAGGCAGAGGGCCACGTGGCAGCCCTGGCTTGGCTGGCATGGCTGCTGACAGGGCCTGCTGACGCAGCACCTGGTTCTCCTGCTCCGCGTTCTTCACCTGCTCTTCCAACCTGGAGAAAGGGGAGGGGAGGGAGAGAGATGGGGGGGGTGAAAGAGAAACAGAAGAAAAGGCAGGTGGAACTGATTGTATGTGGCCACAGCACCTGGTTCTCCTGCTCCTCATTCTTCACTTGTTCTTCGGTCTGGAACAGGGGGTCGAAGAGAGGATTTTTGAAAAGAGTGCAGCAAAGCAAGGGGGTTGGAACTCTAAGAGTGACTGCTAACAGAGGCACAACCTGCACTCACTGCGCACACACACACACGCACACTCCCCTCCACAATCCCACAAACACACCCACTCACCACTCGCACAACACCCTTTCACCGCGCACAACACCCACTCACCGCGCGCACAGCTCCTGCACCTTGCGCAGCTCCTCCTGCGTCTCCTCCAGCATCCGCTCCCTCTTCCCAATCTCCTCCCTCACCTCCGCCTCCACCTGTGCCACCCGCTCATCACTCTCCGCCAGCAGCGCCTTCAGCCTCACATTCTCTAGCGCCAGCTTCACACTCACACACACATTCACCGCACCCAACACCCGCTCACCGCACACAGCCGCTCATCACTCTCCAACAGCAGCGCCTTCAGCCTCACATTCTCTAAAGCTAGCTTCACACACAGACCCACTCACTGCACCCAACACCCTTTCACCGCACACAACCACGTACCGCACAGAACACCCGCAAAACACCCACTCACCGTGCGCACAGCTCCTGCACTTTCCTGAGCTCCTCCTGCGTCTCCTCCAGCATCCGCTCCCTCTTCCCAATCTCCTCCCTCACCTCCGCCTCCACCTGTGCCAGCCGCTCATCACTCTCCGCCAGCAGCGCCTTCAGCCGCACATTCTCCAACGCCAGCTCCCTGCTGCTCGCCGCTGCAAACCCCCCTCCATCGGACTGCACCGCATTCAACGCCGCGCTTCCCAGGTTGAACGACCCGGAGGAGGCGGGGGTTGAGGTGGCGTTGGCGGGGGCGGCGGCAGGGAGGGAGGATTTTTGCGGGGTGATGAAAGGGGAGCTTGGGGTGGAGGAGGAGCGGGGGGGGGGGGAGGAGCCGGCAACTGCTGCTGCTGCGACCGCGGCAGCAGTGGGTGCGGCAGAGGCAGAGGCGGAAAGACAAACCCTTGCGGCAGAACCAGGAGTAGCAGCAGCAGCAGCAGATATGCTAGCAGAGTCGAGGGACTGGGATGCGATTTGTGCTGTCTGTGCTGCTGTTGCCAGTTCGAGAGAGAGCCTCTCGGTCTCTGCCTTGGCTGCTTGAGTCTCCGCCTTTGCTGCTACGGCCTCTGCGTGTGCCTCGTCCACCTTCTTCATTGCTCCCTCCAGTTCCTGCTGCAGCTTCTGGATCTCTGCTGTCTTCGCCTCCTCCACATCCAGCTGATTGGAGGAGAAATGGGTGGAAAGCATGGGTTTCAGAATGGAAATGAGTGGTGGAGAGTGGTCAAGTGCAATCAACCTACTCTCCTCCCTCCAGCTCCTGCTGCAGCTTCTGGATCTCTGCTGTCTTCGCCTCCTCCACGTCCAGCTGATGGGGGTTTAAACGGGGGGTTCAGCACGGAATGGAGCGACGTAGAGTGGTGAAGAGTGGTGAGGCACCTCAGTGAACCCCAGCATTTGGAAGCACCTACCCCAGCAGCACGTACCCCAGCAGCACCTGCCCCAGCAGCACCTACCCCAGCAGCACCTACCCTTATCAGCGCCACTCACCCGCATTCGTTTCTCCAGCTGCAACCGCCATGTGAGTTCCTCGCACTGCTTCTCCAGCTTCGTCTTTGCCTCTTGTAGTGCCCCCGTTTGCTTGGCGTCCTGTAGGCAAGGGGCATGGGCCATGGGGTGGCAAGGTCAGTATTTTATGGCCTGCTCTACAGGCTGCTCCTCGCACTGCTTCTCCAGCTTCGTCTTTGCCTCTTGTAGTACCCCCGTTTGCTTGGCGCCCTGTGCGAGTGGGGGCATCAGGTGTGGCGCATGGGGTGTGGGCACGGGGTGTAGTGAGGGGTGTGGGGCGCGGGACATGAGGTGTGGCGCATGGGGTGTGGGGCATCCGCAATGGAGTATGGGGAAGGGGGTAGGAGGCATGGGGCATGTGGCATGTTGCATGGGGCACGGAACATGGGGAATGAGGCCTGGCAAAGAATGGTAGCGCAGAATGCTATTGCAGTGAGGTATGGCACGGTATTACATGCATCGTTAATCAACCATTCATCCATACAGCCAGACTCACGTGCTTGAGCTTCTTGAGCTCCAGGCGAACAGCCCTGCCCCTCCACGCCGACTGCAGGACCAAGCCACAGTGCCCCCTTTTTGTAGGCGCCTCAAATGTTCAAACAGTCACATGTGACATGCACCATCGCCCACCCCCCCACACTCACGTGCTTGAGCTTCTTGAGCTCCAGGCGGGCAGCCCTGCCCCTCCATGCCGACTGCAGCACCAAAGCGCTCTTCTTCCTCCTCCCATACTCCTGCTGCTGCACATGCCCTCTCCACTTGCTCTGTAAGGCTCGAGCAATGTCAAAAATGGTACAGCATGAGGAAAATCGTCAGTCAAGAATCAAGATAAAGCAGCAGGAGCAGGAGCAGGAGACGCAAGCAGCAGCACTAGAGGTCTGCATCCCATATTCCCAACACTCGCATGCCCCAACCACATTCCACCTCTCATAACCCCACTCACAACCCTATGATCACACGCCTTACCCTCCATCCCAGCCCCACCTGAATCTTGACAGCAGCCCTGTTCTCCCGTCTCTGCCTCGCCTCCTTGCGAGCAGCCATGCCCCTCGCCCCTGCCTGCAGCACCACTGCTGCCTGCCGTGTGCGCCGGTACTTGCTCTGAGCCACAAACCGCCGCACGTGCTTCTGCACGCGCACGGCTGCTGCGTTCCTCCTGATGCTCTCGTACTGCAAACGAGCCTTGTGGCCTGATATGGGAGGGAGGTGGAGGGAGATAGAGAGGAGGTTGGGGAAATGGGGGAAAGGGAAGCAAGGAAATGGTTTGCTGCCTCTCTTTCTCCCTCTCGCCCCTGCCTGCAGCACCCCCGCTGCCTGGCGTGCCCGCCAGTACTTGCGCTGAGCCACAAACCGCTGCACCTGCTTCTGCACGCGCACTGCTGCCACATTCCTCCTGATACTCTCATACTCCAGGCGGGCTTTATGACCTCGTGGGGGGGGGATGGTAGGAGATAGGGCGGGGGGTTGAGATAGGAGGAGGTAGGAAGGAAATTGTTTGCCGTCGCACTGCCCTGCCTGCAGCACCACGGCTGCCTGCTGTGCCCGCCGGTACTTGCTCTGAGCCACAAACCACCGCACGTGCTTCTGCACGCGCACTGCTGCCACATCCCTTTGAACGATTCATCTAGTGCCCCTACAGCCTGCCACGCCTGCCTCTATCTCACCTCGCCACAGCGCCTGCACTCGCAGCACCCCAGCGCGAAGGCGTTGGAACATGTGTCGCTGCATCCACGCCTTGAACGCCCTCTGGATGACCTTCACCACCCCTTTCCCCTTCACAGGCTCTTCTAGTGCCCCCATCACACCCTTCCATGCCTGTCCCAATCTCACCTCGCCACAGCGCCTGCACTCGCAGCACCCCTGCACGCAGGCGTTGGAACACTCGCCACTGCATCCACGCCTTGAACGCCCTTTGGATGACCTTGGCGGCCTCCCCCAGCTTCTCCGCCCTCATGGCATCCAGATCCGCCATCTGGCCTGCTCTCAGAAACACCTGCGTCTTGCCCACCTGGGTGGGGGGGGGGGGTGTGGGGGGGGGGGGGTGGGGGGGGAGGTTGGGGGGAAGGGAGGAGAGTGGAAAAGTACTGTCACTGCTCGCCTCCCCCAGCTTCTCCGCCCCCATGGCATCCAGATCCGCCATCTGCCCCGCCCTCAGGAACACCTGCGTCTTGCCCACCTGGTGGGGAAAGGGGAGGGAAGGGGAAGGATGTGTGTCGGGAGGATTGTGAACGCGCAAGCTTTGAGTCGACTCAGAAGCCTGCTCTCAGAAACACCTGCATCTTGCCCACATGGTGGGGAAAGGGGAGGGAAGGGGAAGGATGTGTGTGGGGAGGATTGTGAACGCCCTCTGAATGACCTTGGTTGCCTCCCCCAGCTTCTCCGCCCTCATCGCATCCAGATCCGCCATCTGGCCTGCTCGTAGAAACACCTGCGTCTTGCCCACCTGGGTGGGGGGGGGGGGGGGGTGGGGGGGGGAGGTTGGGGGGAAGGGAGGAGAGTGGAAAAGTACTGTCACTGCCCGCCTCCCCCAGCTTCTCCGCCCTCATTGCATCCAGATCCGCCATCTGCCCCGCCCTCAGAAACACCTGCGTCTTGCCCACCTGGGCGATGAGTTGGGAGGGGTGGGGGAGCGCGAGGGAGTTGGTGTGGGGACATGGGATGTGTGAGAGAATTGCGGAATTACAATTCTCAAACCAGCTGTGTGTAGCCTCTTTTGAAAAACAGGGACGAAAGGCTGTGACAAAGGCTTCTGAGAAGACGACGGCTTTAAGCAGACTGATCCTTTTGAGGAGATTCATGAATCACTGAAACAGCCGGTCGTGTAGCATGCAGCAGCAGGGCGGAATGGACAGAGGGGGTGAAATCTGGAGGGGGGAAGAACACAAAGACGACTAGAGATAGGACAACCAGTCTGATAGTCGGCCGTGCACCTGGTAGTTAGAGAAGCCAAGCTTGTCCAAGAGAGTCGTGATTGCTGTCTTGTCATCCTGACTGGTGTGCCACACATGCACATGCACATGCACACGCACATGCACATGCAATGGACCCCCGTGCCATACGCACATGTAAAAAGAGGCAAAAAGAAGGAGGGCGAATCAAAGGTTACAGTCAGTTGAGATCGCAAGAGGAACAGAGAGCAAAGAGCTTGCATGGGATAACAAATGAAAGCAGCCAATTAGCAATCAACTGCCACCACAGGCACACTCACTCACTCACTCACTCACTCACTCATCCGTTCACTCACTCACTCACCCACCTGCCATCACAGGCCTCAGGGTCCAGGAAGGAGAAGCGGTCCAGGAACTCGTCACAACACACACGTGTTACACAAGCCATACTCACCTCACCTGCCATCACAAGCCACACCCACTCACTCACTCACCTGCCATCACAGGCCTCAGGGTCCAAGAAGGAGAAGCGGTCAAGGAACTCGTCAAATGTGCGACGCGTGGGATAGCCCGCACAGCTGATGCGAATGGCCTCCAGCACACCCTGTGTGGGACGGATAGAAGGAAGGAGAGGAGGGGAGAGGAAGGGGAGGGGAGGGGAGAAGAGGAGAGGAAAGGAGAGGAGAGGAGAGGAGAGGAGAGGGGAGGAACGGAGAGGGGATGAGTTAGGGGTTGCGGGAGAGTGTTGTTCACTGACCCTAGGGGTTTTCAAACTGTATCAGCTGGAGGTTTGATGTTTTCGAACCTTTTCCATTACGAACCAGTGAATCTAGGGTGGAAGAAAGACGTCTCAGCACTGATTTGTTGACTGATAGATAAGCATTCAAACACTCACCCCGCATCTGAGCTGGTGAATCACGTTGATGTTCTCAAACAGCTGCGGCTGGTACTTGCCGTTGGGCTTCACACAACGAATGTAGTTCGGTTGAGTCTGGTTCAGAGTGGCCATGAGCTCTGCCAGTTGTTGCTGAGAAGGGAGAAGAACAGCGCACACGGACACATGGGCACACAGGCACAGGGGCACAGGGGCACAGGGGCACAGGGGTACAGGGGTACAGGTTTAAGAACAATATCTGAGGTATGTCATGGATGCAGTTCGGTTGAGTCTGGTTGAGAGTGGTTATCATGAGCTCTGCTAGTTGCAAGGAGCAGGAAAGAGTTAGAGAGAGCAGGCAAAGAAGTGAAGGGAGGAGTTGGTTGCTTGTACCTTGAAGCTGGAGCCTAGCGAGGTGAACTTGGTCTTTGCATGGTCACCCGCGCCGCGGGGGTGTTAACGAACAGGGAAAGTGAAGAGCTGGAGAGCGCAGACAAAGAAGCAAGAGAAAGGGTTCGGTTGTACCTTGAAGCTGGAGCCTAGCGAGGTGAACTTGGTCTTTGAAGTAGAGTGAGAACACCTGGGCATACCTTGAAGCTGGAACCCAGCGAGGTGAACTTGGTCTTGGCCTTGTCACCCGCGGGGACCGGGAAGAGGCCAGCAACGAAGGGGTCCTTGGACTCTGACAGCACCGTCTGGTGCTCCATCACTACATAGTCCTTGTTCTTCTCCAAGAATAGGTCTGTTTGATACGTGACCTGGTGGGGCAGAGTGGGATGGAGATTGTGCATCGAGAGGTAAGAAACTGGGTGGTGAGTGGGAGTAATGAAGGGGTCCTTGGACTCTGACAGCACCGTCTGGTGCTCCATCACCACGTAGTCCTTGTTCTTCTCCAGAAAGAGATCCGTTTGGTACGTCACCTGGAGGAGAATGATGGGGAGCAGTACGGCATGAAGAGGGGACACTAAACTGAATGGCCACTGTCTAACAACGAATGGGTCCTTGGACTCTGACAGCACCGTCTGATGCTCCATCACCACGTAGTCCTTGTTCTTCTCCAGGAATAAGTCGGTCTGGTATGTGACCTGGTGATAGGAATCAAGGATTCAGAGAGGGAAGGAGATGGCTAAGTGAGAGCCACGAAGGGGTCCTTGGACTCTGACAGCACCGTCTGATGCTCCATCACCACGTAGTCCTTGTTCTTCTCCAGAAACAGGTCCGTCTGACATGTGACCTGGAGGGATGATTGGCAGCAGCGAGGCATTAAGAGGGAACACTGAACTGAACGGCCACTGTCTAACAATGAAGGGGTCCTTGGACCCCGACAGCACCGTCTGATGCTCCATCACCAACTAGTCCTTGTTCTTCTCCAGAAACAGGTCTGTTTGGTAGGTCACCTGGTAGGGCAGAGTGGGATGGAAATTGAGCAACGAGAGGTAAGAAACCGGGTGGTGAGTGGGAGCAATGAAGGGGACCTTGGACTCTGACAGCACCGTCTGATGCTCCATCACCACGTAGTCCTTGTTCTACCAACTAGGTCATCCTGCCCACCTTGCCAGCGTAGTGGTCGATGGTAAAGTCGGTCTGAGAGAGCTTGGGCTTCTCAAAGCGCGGGTGGGTGCCCACTGTCTGGTACAGCTTCGTGGCAAATGTCTCATGGTTCGACTTGGGAAACATGCTGCTCACACATGGGGGGGGATGGGGCGAAGGGGGGTTGAATGGGAAAAGGGAGAGAAAAGGGGGAAGAGGAGAGGAGGGTGGGGAAGAAAAGAGTAAGGAGGATATCTCGTTGCAAACGAGTCATGGCTGGACTTGGGGAACATACTGCTCACACACGGGGTCGACGAGTTAGTTAAGGGGATTCACGGGAGCAAGACACAAGGAAGAGCTGCAAAGAAGGGGTTACCACAAATTTCTGTGAGCAGGCAACCACGCACACACACCATGACGCACATACCATTGCTCGTCGAGGAGTGAGATGATCCCCATTGGCTTCTGCACACACATGCAACAAACACAGAAGAAACGGGAGGTCAATGCGCAGACAGACAGGTGATGGCGGCAGATCACAAAATCATTTCAACCATGACATGATGGCATGACACCAACATTCACACAGTCCCCACCTTCTCTATAAGTTCCAGCACGTCCTGGTTGTCCACAGCCTCGATGTAGCTCCCGAACAGCTTCATCTGCCCACACCTTTCTACACCGCAACAAACCGCACAGTGCCCCTTCTCACACCTTCTCTATGAGCTCCAGCACGTCCTGGTTGTCCACAAACTCGATGTAGCTCCAGTTGATCTCCTCCTTCTCATACTCCTCCTGCTCCGCCTTGAACACGTGCTGGTGGGAGAGAGGGAAGGGGGCACAGGAGGGGTCGGATGGATGGGATGGGATGGGAAGGGTGTGAGGGATAGGAAGGGGTGATAGCTCCAGTTGATCTCCTCCTTCTCGTACTCCTCCTGTTCCGCCTTGAACAGATGATGGTGGGAGCACGTGATGGGGGCAGGGCAGGGGGGGGAGAAGGTGGGAACAGAGGTACAGAGACGGATTTCCTCAATTGCATAGAAGGGATTAAGTTTCTCTCACCACTGAATCGCGACACACAGGCTGCGATGCACACAGGTCAGTGCATGGTGCAGACACTCACGTGGTTGAAGTGCTGCTGGAGCTTCTCGTTGGCAAGGTTGATGCAGAACTGCTCAAAGCTGGAAAGCGGGAAAGAGGAAGAGACAAGGTGTGGTGTGGCAAAGGTGACTGTCGGGTCGACAAAAAAGTCACTCCCACATTGATGCAGAACTGCTTACAACTGAAAGCAGGAACGAGGCGACAAGGTGTGGCAACGTGTGGCGAGGGATGCAGCCAACTAGCTGCGAAAACGCCACGCTTTGACTGACCTGTTGCACTGGAAGGTCTCGAAGCCATAAATATCAAGCACACCGATGATGGTCTTGGCGTTGGGATCCTGGCCGATAGACTTGTTTACCTTGTCCACCAGCCTGGGGAAAGGAGAGGGGGGAGCGGAAGGGGGAAGAGATGAAAGGAGAAGACGAAGCGAGAGAAGGTTGCAGATGTTGATAATGGTCTTGGCGTTGGGTTCCTGGCCAATAGACTTGATCACCTTGTCCACTAGCCTGGGCAAGAGATGGGGGGTGCGATGGGGAGGGGTGGAGGGGGAGAGGAGATAAGCGATTGAGGAGGGGGAGGGTGAGCAATCGAGGGTGAAATTTATGAGGTTGATTACAAATTCAACATCTGTGTGGCACCCAATGGGGGGTCATTCATCTAGCACCTGTGCACTGCCCAGCTCACGAGTCGAACATCTGTATGGCGCCCAAATCACCAGTCAAAAAGCCGGGCGTAGATGGTCCTGCTGGCGAGGGTGTCTTGGCATGAGGGTTTAGGGTTATGGATGACCGCTGCTGTCGGGTCGAGATGACTTTCCAGGCGCCTCAAAGAATCAACTACCAACCAATGCATGCGGTTCTCCTGACTCACAATTCATCACTGAATGCAACCCAGCTCACCAGTCGAACAGCCGAGCATAGATGGTCTTGGCGAGGGTGTCTCGGCTGATTACTGCTGCTGTTGGGTCGAGCTCCTTCTTGATGTTGCCGTCGCGCGTCACCAGTGTGCGGGAGATGAGCGACTCCCTTAGCTGCTTCTTGTCCACCCTGTCGACAGTGGGACATGAGGATGGTAGAAACATGAGTGAGTGGGCACTTTGATTCAGCTCACAAAGGTCGAGCTCCTTCTTGATGTTGCCGTCTCTCGTCACCAGCATGCGGGAGATGAGCGACTCCCGTAGCTGCTTCTTGTCCACCCTGTCGGCAACAGCGGGACACAACGAGGGTAAGGTAAACGCACGCATAAGTGGGCTTTCATTCGGCTCACAAGGGTCCGCTTGAAAAAGGAAGCAGCAGCTCTCAGGTGGTACTTGGACTTGCCGTTCGGCACCTTGGAGAATTTGGGCTGATTGCATCCAGGAATGCAGTCCTGACCCTCTGCATGAGAGTGATGGATCTATACCTAATTATACCCCATCCCTCATTTCTCACCTGAGCAGGGAGACAGCGGCCTCCAGGTGGTACTTGGACTTGTCGCCCGACACCTTGGACGAGTCGGGCTGCTTGTCTCTGACACCGGGATACATACCTGAGCATTGGCGTGAGTGGGAAGGATCCAAGCCCCATCCCCCTGCCCCATTCTCACCTGAGAAGCGAGGCAGAAGCCTCCAGGTGGTACTTGGACTTGTCGCCCGACACCTTAGACGAGTCGGGCTGCTTGCCGGGTGCAAACGTGATGTTGCCCAGATGCAGGATAGCCGCTACGACCTGGAATATCGAGTCCTGTGATGAGGGGGTGGGAGGGTGCGTGTGAGGGAGGAGAGGGGGCAAGAGAGAGAGGTTAGTGAACAAACGTGATGTTGCCCAGGTGCAGGATAGCCACTACGACCTGGAATATCGAGTCCTGCAATGTGAGGGAGAGCGGGAGTGAGGGAGGAGTGGAGGGGAGAGAGGGGGTGGGGTTGAGAAGGTTAGGGAAGAAAAGTGATGTTACCCAGATGCAGGAGAGCTACCACCACCTGGAATATCGAGTCCTGTTGTGAAGAGAGGTGGGGGAAGGAGGCAGGGCAGAGAGGGAGACAAAACGATTAGTGAACGAATGTGATGTTGCCAAGGTGCAGGAGAGCTGCCACCACCTGGAATATCGAGTCCTGTTGTGAAGAGAGGCGGGCAGGAGACGTATGGGTTGAGAGAGGAGCGAGAGAGGGGCGAGAGAGGGGCGAGAGAGGGGCGAGAGAGGGGAGATCCGGAGCGAAAAGAACAGAAGCCTATACCGTGCTCACATGCCAATCAATAATACAAACAATCATAATTTAACTGCTCCTTCAGCCCTACCTGCTCCTCAGGGCTGATCCCAACCACGTCCATGGCTCGTCTCGTCTTGATGTACTCGTTTGCGATTGTCTCCCTGCCAGGCAGCTCAACTCCGCGCCTGTTCAGTCCCACCTCAGCCCTACATGATCTCCCTACCCGATCCTTGAGCCATACCCGTGCTGCCAGCCTTACTTGTTCCTCGGGGCTGAGCCCAACCACGTCCATGGTGCGTCTCGTCTTGATGTACTCATCCGCGTTCGTCTCCTTGCCACGCAGCTTGGCGCCCCCCACATGTTCTTTCAGCCTCAGACCTCCCCCCTCAGCCCTGTTACCTCAACAACAGACCCACACCCCTACCTGTTCCTCAGGGCTGAGCCCAACCACGTCCATGGCGCGCCGAGTCTTGATGTACTCATCCGCGTTCGTCTCCTTGCCAGGCAGCTCGAAGCAGTTGCTCTGGTTGAGGTAGTGGAACGTCTCTGCTGGCGCCAGCTTCAGCCTCTCCACCTCCTGTGAGAGCACGAGGTCAAGAGGGCATAGGGGCATGGGGGGATGAGGGCATGGGTGAGATGTGCACATGGCATTGGGGTGAGATGGGCACAAGGCACATAAGAATGGGGTGGGTATGGCAGGTCGAAGCAACTGCTCTGGCTGAGGTAGTCGCAGTTACTTCAGCGGATGCAAGCTTGCACCCGAGCAGAGCTGGTAGAAGCAGTGGTAATTGCGCTCAGGGTCTGAAATCTGCACCACCCGGGACCTTTCCAGCAGGAATGGAGCAGGTACGTGCATCGTGCGCACAGCTGCTCCTGAGATGCTTCCAGATTCATCGAACTGAATCCCCACAACGTACCTCAGGGGAAGCACCCGAGCAGAGCTGGTAGAAGCAGTGGTAGTTGCGCTCAGGATCTGAGATCTGCACCACTCGGGACCTCTCCAGCAGGTACGTGCGCACAGCTGCTCCCGATATGCGTCCAGATTCATCGAACTGAATCTCAACGAACTTGCCAAAGCGGCTGCAGCACAATTGCCATGCGCGTGAAATGTGTGTGGATAAGAAGGGAGCAAGCAGTGAGAGTGAGGCGGGGAGGAGAGAGGGCAGTGGGAGAGGGGAGGTGGGGATAGAAGGGAAAGACTAGTTAGGAGGCTGCTTGAAAATGAATGGAAAATAGGACGGGCTTCAGAATTTGGGCTAAGAATGCGAATGGAAATGGCAGTTGGGATCATGGGTTGGGCTGCGAAAAAAAAGGAAAGATAGAAAAAAGGCATGCATGTTACAAGACGTGTTAGGTGACGAGACAAAGAACAGCACCTGAAATTGTTCTGGAATTTTTCAAGCGCTTCAAGCAGCAGATGCATGCATTTCTCTGCGATAGCATTAAATCTTAGGAAACGCCATCCCTCACCTGGAGTTGTTGTTTCTGACAGTCTTCGCATTCCCAAACGCTTCAAGCAGCGGATTTGACTGCACAGAGCAGGGCAGCATCAGCAAGAACCACTCTTTAGGGTTCAAGTCGGAATCCAAAAATTGAAACAAGCACCCAGATCACAAGTAATGCCATCAGCAAGAGGATGTTGAAACAAGTACCTCCAGCACTTGTGCCTCCACGGACCGGCCCTCTGTGGCGCGCCCTCCCATGTACGCCAGGTACTGCATGAGCAGCTTCGTGGTCTCTGTCTTGCCTGCACCGCTCTCCCTCTTTCCCTCATACATGCCCAGAGTTCAAAGTACCTCCCAGCACGTACCTCCAGCACTTGCGCCTGTACCCTTCAGAAGCGTACCTCCAGCACTTGCGCCTGTCCCCTTCAGAAGCGTACCTCCAGCACTTGAGCCTCCACGGATCGGCCCTCTGTGGCGCGCCCGCCCATGTACGCCAGGTACTGCATGAGCAGCTTCGTGGTCTCCGTCTTGCCGGCACCGCTCTCCCTCTTTCCCTCATACATGCCCAGAGTTTAGAGTACCTCCCATACCTCCTAGCACGTACCTCTAGCACTTGAGCCTCCACGGATCGGCCCTCTGTGGCGCGCCCTCCCATGTACGCCAGGTACTGCATGAGCAGCTTCGTGGTCTCTGTCTTGCCTGCACCGCTCTCCCCACTCACAAGGATCGACTGGCTCAGCTTGTAGTCCACCATCGCCCTGCCAGTGGCGACGTGGGGTTACCAGGTAACACAGTGGGGGCAGGGTAAAGACAGGTACTGCATGAGCAGCTTCGTGGTCTCCGTCTTGCCGGCACCGATCTCCCCACTCACAAGAATCGACTGGCTCAGCTTGTAGTCCACCATCGCCCTGCCAGGGGTTAGAAGGGTTACCAGGTAACACAGTGGGAGCAGGGTACGCCAGATACTGCATGAGCAGCTTCGTGGTCTCTGTCTTGCCTGCACCGCTCTCCCCACTCACAAGAATCGACTGGCTCAGCTTGTAGTCCACCATCGCCCTGCCAGGGGTTAGAAGGGTTACCAGGTAACACAGTGGGAGCAGGGTACGCCAGATACTGCATGAGCAGCTTCGTGGTCTCTGTCTTGCCTGCACCGCTCTCCCCACTCACAAGAATCGACTGGCTCAGCTTGTAGTCCACCATCGCCCTGCCAGGGGGTTGGCAGGGGGAGGAGAAGAGAGGGTAAGGGATACGGAGTTGACATATGATGGGCTTCGTGGTCTCTGTCTTGCCTGCACTGCTCTCCCCACTCACGAGGATCGACTGGCTCAGCTTGTAGTCCACCATCGCCCTGCCAGTGGCGAGATGGGGTTACCAGGTAACATGGTGGGAGCAGGGTGGAGACAGGATGGGAGCAGACTGGTTACCAGGTAACATGGTGGGAGCATGGTGGAGACAGGTCGGGAGCAGAGTGGCAGGTTGGCAGGCAGGCCTACAAGGAGCGACTGACTCAGCTTGTGGTTCACCATCGCCCTGCCAACCATTACAGACATGCAAGGGGTTACCACGTGATGGTGACAGCTGGTAGGGTAGCAGCGAGGCACACGCACGGACCTGTAGGAGGTTTCAGCGATGGCGAACACGTGGGGGCTAAGCTCGGCCAGGCGTGACCCGCGGTACTGCTCCATCATGTGCACATCGTACAGGTGGGGCAGCCCCCTCCTTCACACACGCACGAACGCACAGAACCGCACTCCACACATGCACGGACCCACACAACCGCACTCCACACAAGCACGAACCTGTAGGAGGTTTCAGCAATGGCGAACACGTGGGGGCTCAGCTCGCCCAGGCGTGACCCGCGGTACTGCTCCATCATGTGCACATCGTACAGGTGGGGCAGGCCCCACCTTCAAGAACCGCACTCCACACATGCACGGACCCACACTACCGCACTCCCCACCAGCACGAACCTGTATGACGTTTCAGCGATGGCGAACACGTGAGGGCTCAGCTCACCCAGGCGTGACCCCCGGTACTGCTCCATCATGTGCACATCGTACAGGTGGGGCAGCCTCTGAAAGGGATTCACTGCAATGAGAATGCTGCCTGTGTACGTCTGCCCATGCACCAACATATCATATCGAATCAGAGCCGGACACGCATTGCCCAGGGTACAGGGGTGCAGGAAATGCGCGGGAGCAGAGGAGGTCGGGTGGGAGGTAAGTATCGAGTTGCGGCTATGAGGATACTGCCTTCGTGCGTCCACCCATGCACCCCCACCAACGCAGCCAAGCGGCAAATTGCCCCGAAAATTGGGTTACAGGAACTCCACGGGAGAATGAATCTTACGTCCATGTCCGCAACTTCCGTACATCTCATAAGAGGGACCATCGCATGGCCTGCTTCGCGTACGCAAGACAACGCAGGTGCGAATGACGAGGTGGTAACTCACGTAGATTTCGTCGAGCGAGTATCGCACGGCGAGATTGTGCAGCACGCCGGGCTCGTGGAGGTACGCAAGCTTCGTCATGTCGTCCACACCGCCGCTCGGCGCGTCTGGGTCCTTCGGATGGATGTGCTTCAGCCGGTACACCGTCTGCACGAGCGACAAACAATTTGGGTGATGGATGACAATTGGTTTGGTGCATGCTACGACTTGTGCAGCACGCCGGGCTCATGGAGGTACGCGAGCTTCGTCATGTCGTCCACACCGCCGCTCGGCGCGTCTGGGTCCTTCGGATGGATGTGCTTCAGCCGGTAAACCGTCTGCACGGAGGCACGGACGAGCAGTATGAATCAGTACGGACTACCAGGTGATACTGCTAGCATACCAACCGTCTCAGACTGAGACGGGTGGATGTGGTTCAGCCGGTACACTGTCTGCATGGACGAACAGTGTAGATCAGTACGGACTACCAGGTGACATTGTTAGCAAGCGGACTGATAACGGTGGATGTGCTTCAGGCAGTAAACCGACTGCACGGACGACGAAACATTTGGATGCTGATCAAGATCAAACCGACGCGTGCTACGGGTTGGATGAGAAGGTTAGCATGCTACGAACTAGCATGATACGAACGAGCGAGAACGATACGCTAAGGACGAAGCAGACAGAATCCATAACAGAAACACTGCTTCGTAGAAATTCATTCACGCATAGACCTCGCGCGAATCTCACTGCTTCGAAACTCCGAGAATGTTCTACATGGGAGGACTGACTGACTCGGGTCTGTCTGTACGAACCTCCTTATCCCCGACTTTGACGGTTACTTTCTTCTTCTCCACCTTCACCACCTCCCCCTCCACCCATGCTTGCTCCGGGTCCTCCACCCACACGAACGAACCCACGACGACTTTCGCGTCTGCCGTCTGCGGAAACGAAAAGGGAGGAAACCGGAAACGGATCACTTATGGATTCCTAAGCTTCTGAGCGTGTATGACTGAAATGCGATGCGGTTTTCTATGCTTCCTACCATGATGTCCTCCTGTTGCTGAGACTTGGCCGCTAGTGGGATCGCACGGATCCGATCAGCATGGCCAGTAAGCCAGAGAGATGGCCTCCTAGGAGATACGAGCCGGGTTAGGAGGTACCGCTGATGGTGTGACTACCTGAATCAACTCCCTAGGCTGGACCTAGATTCCTCCTCGCAAATCTCGTGAATCTGTGCCTTGGTTGGTTTGGTGGGCTGATGAACGAGAATGTGCCTGTAACGAATCATTGAAAGTGACGACTCTGGTTGCTTCATTACTGCGACCCTGAAAATGCATCGTATCGTAAACCTCCTTTACCGCACACACTAGACATAGAATCTGTAACAACCGCTCTGCGCCGAAATAAAGACGGGAGAAGCATCGACATGGGCAAATCTTTGTGCGAAGTGGTCCTTGTTGCTGCTGATTGGACTGGATGGGTGCAGGGGAAGTGCAAACCGTCGATTTTGATGGGCTTGAGAGCTTGCCACGGTGGCACTGTCAGAATCTCTGCAAACATCGCGCCCAAGCCCAGCCCACTTTTGTTGTTTTGTCATTATGGAGATCACCGTTACTGGTCTGGCATTAAATCTAGCAGGCTAGAGTGGTGCCATTCTTAAAAAACGAAAGTGCACTGAAAGTGCACAATCATAAGTGCCTTCCCACGCTCATTACAAGAACAGATTGAGAATCATGTAAATTAAGAAAAATTGCTTTTACAATACATTAGATACTGGAAATGCATGCCAGGGTGGTTGTGGGAAGCCATGACGAGTGTAGTGGAATAAATGTTTGAAATTGGATTCGCCAAGCTTCAAAATACACCTGTCGCGAAGTTGCATTTCATAGACGCCCTCACAATAAACGGAAATTAGTCTGTCTAAGCTGAGGGTTTACTAGAATTTGTCTACACTGTTTGACAACCAATTCTGGAATTTAGAAAACAGCCCTGGGATTCGTACTCTTCACGCCAACCTCCCACCAGCTACTATTTCGTCCCCCTCTCACCAAGTCTTTCTCAAAAAAGATCTCGAGGCTGTCGCCCACCCTTTCCTACTCGACTTCTGAGGCTACTCACAAGGCAAACAACCTTATAAGGTACTATTCAGCATAATAGAGCTCAGCGGACGAAAAATGCCGCCCATTTTCGCGGGCCAGAACGGACAACCCCCCTCCTCGGGGTTGTCGACCCCACGACGACCACCGCGTGGAAAGCCCAGGCGAGCTGGCTGGGCCCAGTGCTGGTGACCCCTCGGGATTGTCGACGACCTGTCGACCTTGGGTTCCGCTGAGACAATCCCGAGAAGGTCGTCTCAGCCGCGTGACGTCATCCCAGCTCGGCACGCGGGGCCGCGATGATCGCCACGCGGCCAAAAAAGAGACGTCCGAGATCGACCCCTGGATGGCGGGGCCATCGTGGACAGCCAGGGTGGCCACGACGGGCCAACGGAAGGTGGGGGTGCTTCGCGTGGGAAAACTTCGCGCCCAAGCGTTGCCAGGTCGGTGCGTACCACACGGCCATCATCCAACGGTTGCCCACATGCCCAAGGCGAAATCCGACCGTCCACTACCTCTGCCTAGGTGCAGTGGATACTGGCGGGAATGTCGGCGTCGACCAGAAGGTCTTCATCGTGGTGCCACGCGGCAGTGTCTCCCGCCCTCGAACTACCGCGCTGGGACCACGCCACGTACCGCACCACAGAGCCAGCGTGTAACACCCATGAAAGGCGCATTATGAGCGAAGCGCTTCAAGCATGCACGCCCGGTGGCACGTCGGTCACGGCGCCGCCGCACGAGCGTACATGCATAGCTGCGTCCTGCACAGGGGTTTGCGTGGAGCGCCAAGTGGAGCGGAGTCGCTCACGACCATACCAATCTGGGGTCCAATTGCAGGTCGCTCATTCTGCCTGCCGTTCTCTGTGCGTTTCATCCGTTAGCTGGCACTTAGATTTTTTCCCCGTTCCCTTGACGGCTCGCCCTTAGTTCTTTTTCCATCGGGAGATTGTCGGCAGACGTGGAACGTCGGCGTCGTCAGAATAGTCAGACGTCGGGGCCGCCGTCTCGTAGTGTTGTCTGCGATGCCGACCTGTCAGATACCGCCGACTTAGAATCGCCATGTTTCATTTCACCGACCTCACCACACCGACTTCCCATCGCGAGACCCTAGGTCGCGGTATCATGGCCGGAGCACAGCCTCGCTCGACACCGCCGCAACCGCAGCCACCACCCGCCGACGTCGACATGACGGACGTTCCGAACCCCGCTAGCCAGGGTGAGGATGTCCGCCCGGTAGATCGTACACCGAACAGTAACCCCTCGTCGACGCTGCCCCTGCTTTACGATCTCGACGCCCTGGCCCAAATCCCGAAGGGAGAGTTCACCAAGGACGTTCCACCCGCGCCCATAGGGGAGTTCACGAAACCAAGCAAAGACACGTCGGCACCGACGAATGCAGCGGAGGCCGGGCCGTCGTCGGTGCCGGACGTAGCGGGCGACCAGGGTTTAGGGTACTCCTCGGCGAGCGACGAGGACGACGAAGCCGACGCGCGGCCCCGACGTGGCCCAGGTCCGCGCACGTTGGAAGAAAAGCTCAGGGGGGAACGTGCGTTCATCGAGGAACTTCTGGACGAGGACGAGCTCGAGGATCTGATGAACACGTCGGTCCCTCGAGAACAGTGGAAGGCGGCCGACTTCGTAGAGGAAGATATGGTGTACGCGTGCGTCGACGTGCTCGTGATGGAGGCATTGCGCCACCTGAAAACCATCGAGGCTAAGAGCACGCTCCAGTCCTACATCTCATGGATCTACCACTACAAGAGGTGGGCCGCGAAGATGCTCAAAGAGATAGGCGACAAGCTGCCGATCGGGGAACGAACTAGGCACGTCGACGAGATCGGGCACTGGATCCACTGCAACAAGAGCAAGGATTGGGACAACCCGAAGGTGGTCAAACGGAAGCACATCTGGCTGCACGGCCCCAAGGTCACTCCGACGCGGCTGCGCGCCTACGTCAAGTTCATGAGGCGGGAGTTCAAGATCGACGCCGAGACGAACGCGCCGGTGCCGTCCTACACGGTGCACATGATCCTCGGCCGCATCAAGGCATGCCAGATGGCGGCGAGGGTGGAAGCGACGCTGTACAAGGAGAAGGAGTTGGGCATCATGCGAGAAATCTCGGTTGTCCGGTCGGAGGTGCGGGTCATGGTCCGCACCAAAAACCAGAGGGACATCAAGTAAGTTGGCATCCAGCGCCGTTTTCTAGTCGGTGACGATTTGTTCCCATCGCCCTAATAATCCTACCGCCGTATTGTTCTGTCGACAGTAATTGCGCCGACCGTCGACGCGGCACCATCGGCGACACATACACCGCCGAACAGTTCCGCCAGATCATGACGAGGGTGCTGCCGGCTTGGGCGGCGTCGGCATGGAGCCCGCATTTCACCACTCCCTCGCAGACGCTGTGGAGGTTCCTTCTCGTCAAGGTGCTCACGCTGCTCTCCCACCACAGCCTCATGCGCGGTGCAAGCATCCGCGAGATCACGCTCCCCGACATCTTCTTGTACCGACTGGCGAGCACCTCGTCGGTAAACCCGGATAACCAGCCGGTCGTCATGGTGGTCGCCGCGCGGAACTCGAAGACGTCGAAGGATGCGCGTCTTCAGCAGAGCTACGCCGCGCGGCACCTCGAAGCGGAATTGTGCGCCGTCGGCGAGACCGGACTGTGGCTACACTTCATCCTCGACCAGATCGGCCAGTTTCACGGCGTCGACCTCATTCCGCCGGTCGACACCAGCACACGCGAGCGCTGGTACAAGAAGCACCTGTTCTTCGCCCGCAACGACCCCGAGCAGGGCGAACTCTCCGCTGCCAGCCACCAGCGATGGACGAGGCAGATGTGGAAGACGAACGGGGTGTACTGCAAGCGGAACGTCCATGCCGCTCGGGCAGGCGGGGCGCAGGAGCTGGCCATCAACGGTACGCCTCGCGCCGAGATAGCCGAGCTGGGTCACTGGGCTCTCGACAAGATGACTCGAGCCTACATCACAGCCATTCCCGTCGGCGTGGTGATGAAGAAGGCCGGCTATTCGGGCTACACGCAGGACTACTTCTTGGGGCGCAGCAGGGTGGAACCGTCGGACGAGCTTCTCAAGCTCATCGCCGAGCACATCTTCCCCGGCGTCGACGAGCTCCTTAAGAATGTATGTCGATCGGTACCGACCAAGCATCGCATGGCACTGTACTTTCAACCACGGTAATTACCCACGTCTGTTGTCTAATTGCAGGCGGAAGAACTCGCGAAGAAGGGGTCCGACGCCGACGTTGCTGCCGTGCATTTCTGGCGCACCCTCCAGATGTTCCGCCGCATTGTCGCCGAGGACCTCGCTGTGAAACTCGTCCGCACGCCTTGGCACCCGTACGTCCAGTATTCCAAGCTCTGCCGGATTCCCCTCTTCCAGCACTGGGCGAAGAGGGTGGAGAAGACCGACACCGAGACCATCAAAAAGCGGCAAGACCCAACCCTCATCCAGCCAGAGGTGAGTCATCTTTATGTCGACATCGCCATGAGCACTGTGCCCGATGACAACACCTCACCTGCACCGTTTTTCGCCTACATTGCAGGAGATATCGGTCCGCCATGACGCCCAGTACGCGGTCGTCTCCCTCACAACGACGCTGAAGCTCGAGAGGGAGCGGTCAGCGGTCGAGAAGATCGACCTCGAGGAGAAGCTCGAGCAGCGCGACGCTACCATCGCGTCGATGACGGACGAGATAACCCGCCTCACCGAGGCTCTCCGCGTTTCAGAAGCTCGTAGGATGCCGGAGGCGCCGCCAGCTGCGAACGAACAATCGCCGAGCGACGGTGGCTCCGCGGAGTCGGCAAGCAGGGGTGACGGAGCCAAGAAACCCAAAAAACCCCCACAGACGGTCGAGGAGGCTAGCTACGAGCTGAACGTGGTTCAGCCTTGGCGGAATGCAACGACCGTGAGGGACGCGTGGCGCCTCTGGACCTCGTGCACCAGCGCCGACACCCGTCGTCTGTGCGACAGGTTCTTCGAGCCGGGATTCGTCGACCGCCACACCCTCCTCGACGGAGCCTCGCAGGGAGCACACGGGACGAGGGTGCGCCGCATGATGAAGGTAATCGATGCCGTGCGCCAGCTTCGCAAGAGCGACGGCGAAGCCGACACCGAAGCCGTCGTCGACGCGCTTAACACGATAGCGGCGCCTGGCATTGGGACCTTCTCGGATGCCCTCACGGTGCTCAACGCGGGCAACAAACCGACCTATGCCGGGCAGGGTAAGGGCGTCAAGGGGCTCGGCAAGACGGAATTTGCCAAGCTTCGTCTCGCCAGTGCGCTCGTGGCGCGCGGGTTCAAGCCGGAGAAGTTTGTCGCCGACCTTTTCCCGGACACATGGGAGGAGGGGATGAAGAAGGCGTTGGCCGACCTGGCCCGCGAAAACGACGCCGGGAAGCTGCCTCCGACCAAGCGCAAGAAGACCGCGTGAATGCTCACAAGCAACATGCGATTGTGGGCTGTTGCATGTTGTAGATGATGTTGTTACAGCATGCATGTGTTTCGTACTTATACAGTTGTCGACTTTGAGTTTCTCACAATGCTCATGTGGTAGTTCTAACATAGTTAGTCACGTGTCGGCCTGGTATCCTTCGTGATGTGACAAGATACTGGTTCAAATGTTCATTACACATCCTACATAAAGTCGACATGCACTCACACAAGGAAACGCAAAAAACCAGCATCAAAGGGGTCCGACAGCCGAAACACACAAAACGAGATCGACCATAGCAGCATCAAATCCAAGCAACAATGAATCCAAGCTA